CCGGCTGATCCTCCTGAATATGCAGCTTCGATGTCGATTTTTATGACACGCTGTCTTACATGTTTTAAGCATTTATATGGATTCTGGACGACCGTATTTCTGGTGGTAAGAAAGTCCTGAACTTTAAAATCGTCATATACGTCTCCTGGCACCACAAAATAGAGGAAAATAGTATCATCACTTCCCTTCGACTTTGATTGGTCTCCTTTCAAGCAGGGTCCAGTAATACAATCAATTATCTCCTTGAATGGTGCTTGCTTGATCGCATGCTCCTCTGATACTGTGACCTGAAATAGCTTGTTGGGTCCCAATGCAAAATCAATGCACGGAAATTTAGAATGTTCTGGTACAAACAACTTGCCAGCTGCTTGAGTGAGCCTTGATAATTCCTCTGAAGTCCGGTAAACACCTCTTCTGGATTTGCTGGAAAATCAAGAAATCCTGTTTCGCCTGACTGGAGATCCCTAAAGGGAAATCTAATATCACCACATCGAAATAAGTGATGAGCATAGACTTCAAACAGTGGGCCTTTATCTATATCCTCTCCGCCTATGACAAGTCTCGCCAACACATCGACCCAAGTGTTATCTTTTATTTTGTCCATAATCTGTGATTCGACCCAACGAGATGCCCATACCAGGTGGAAGTCGAGGTGGTCAGAAGTAGGAACTCTATGGAGTAAATGACCACCCGCTTCATCTCCTACTCTAAAGAGGTTTGAAAGATTTCTTGGGAGCCAGGTTACGCCAATGGCATCATTGACACACTGAAACGCACTTTTTCTAGCACCCTTAATATCTCCTTGATTATTGAATAGTTCAATGGCTGGAGCCTTTAGGACCTGTCTTGGCACTCCCCCCAACAAGTAAAAAAGCTCCTCCAAAAATTCTTCACTCACTACATGAAAAAACTTTACATCGGCTCTACATTCCTTAAGCTCGTCCAAACTCCAGGGTGACATGTGATAGTAGCTACTGCATGAAGTTCCCTTGGTGAATTCATCGTACTGCCCATAGAGAGTTTTTGGTGATGCTGAAAATATCGTCCTGGCTTGTTCTGGTTGAGGATGGTTACCACTGTCAACTAAATACCACGTTTCAGGTTGCTCAAGAAAAGGTTTGAAATCTACTCTCTCCCCATAACGTTGGCAAGTTGTTCCTCCGTAGGCATAACATTCGGTATTCTTCTTTTCATGGAAAACAATAATCGGTGGATTCTCCTCGTCATGCTCTGCAAGGAGGCGGATGGCAAAATAGACCAAAAAGGCTGACTTCCCAATTCCAGGCGTTCCAGTGACAAAAATTTGGTTCAAACTAGCTCCATGAGGGGTACTGAATTTGGACGTAATATGGTCATAAAGCTCTTTATATTCATCTCTGATATAAAGATGTCTTGTTTCGGCAACAGGGAAGATACGACCCTCAGGAGCAGTCAATATTTTGGAATCCTTGATACCACCAGAATTTCGGAGCTCGCGAGCCACGCTAATAATGCTGTGGTAAATACTACCTCTTGATGCCGTCCCCATGTACGAAAGCACCTTGATCCTCTCTTTCGAGTTGAGAGGCGAGATGTCAGGGTCACCATCCACTATCCCTTTCGTTACAAGCCCTGCTTCTGTAATCGCATCCCTAAGAGCATCTCTACTTATACTTGGACGAGCTTTTTTAGAGGGCGACTCTGATAAAGGAGATAGAGTGATCAAAGTCAGTATTTTTGATTTATTGCACATCACTCTAAATTGATCAATAACCAGGTTCTCAGCCAAAAGCACTCACCAGAATCTCCATCTTGTTTTCTTTTCTGAGCTAAGTATCAAAAGCGAATAATGAGAAAGAACGCTGAGTTATCAAGGCACAAACTAAATGGTAATATTATGCACATGGCCGTTTAAGATACAAACCAAGCTTCATCAGCTGGAACTATCAACAATCAGTCCATCAAGAGCCAAGGATATACCTCGCTGTGGTGGCTTGACAAAAACATGGATAGTTTTCTCTGGAAGTTCAGAATTAAATATGTCCCAAAGCTCCTTTGACGCGACTGTAAGAGCCTCTTTTGACTTGATTTCCGACTCAACCACAGTCTTGTCTTCGTCAGGGATGGAGACCTTGTAGAGGGTGAGATCCTTGGGCTTAGTGCTTGGATCCACAGTAATATTGGGGTAGATTGCTTGCTTGAGCATCCCGACCGATTTATCGGAGGAAATCTCTACTGGGAACGACGTTGCTTCTCCCTCGACAACGCAGTTCAGCTCCAGCAGCAGTGGGATGGCGCGCTTTTTTCGTTGTGGGTGTTGGTTTACTCTTTTTCGTTTATTGAGTGTGGAGACATCCTCAGGCTCATTTGCAGCCATTTTTTTTTGTGCTTGGCTCCCTGTGGAATCATTTGCAGCCATGTTTTTTTGTGTTGAGCTCCTTGTGGTGGCCATTGAAAATTAAGATGAGTGGGACTGAGTGTGGTTGAGATCCAGGGAGAATGATGGTTAAATAGGCAAAGGTGTATTCTATACTCTTTCACCCGTGGTCGCTGTATGAAAACAAAAATGAAAAATGTGTAAGGCAAAAAAAAAAAAGAAAGGAAAGGCGATGTGTGAGAAAATATTTTTTTCAAATCAGCCACGTGCCATTTTCTTGGTCATAGTGACGTGAAAACCAATCACAATCTTTTAGTGCGCGAAGAACTCCCTCAGATAAACGTTTGTTCACACTCTACTTGCTCATTCCTCTGCTTACAACTGCTCCTCAGGAGGACTGGAATGATCATTGAAGGGGGCATTTGAAAAGGATTATAAATTTGAATTTGCCAGATGTCAACTGATCACTTTTTCCGCTTTTACTATAATACAGCTTTGGTTACAGTTTATGATAGCCTTAAAACTTTAAAAGCTTCTATTCTAATTAAGCCCCTGAGAGCGGTGCAGGACTGTTATTAGAATGTCCACTGAAAGTCAAGTGGACTACTATAAAGACAATCGTTAACATACAATATGTGCGGTGTTATATGGGATTCCTGCATAAAATGGCTGTTTATTATCATTGCTTGTGCAGCAGAGGCAATATACCCTGTCAATATTTGTTCATTCTTCATATAGGCCATTCAGCTTTTTGAAGGAATATTGACACATTCTCTTGAGTTGATCATGCTATTAAGATGTTGTGCCTGTGCACCATACAAGCAGTGCTCCTATTCGAACTGAAATTTGTCAATTGATATTTATTTTTTTAATCTGAAACATCATAATTGACAAAATTTCAGTTGGAATAGGACACTGCTTGTATCCAAAGGAGGTCGAGGTCGAGGCCGTGGATGATTCAGATGGTGACAGTGAGAATAGTGGGAAAGATGATGACAACGATGCCATAAAGGTGAGTCTACAAGGAGCAAAGAAGCGGCAACTGGAGTCTGAACAATCAGCAAAGACAAAGCATAAGCGCGGAGGAGGTGGTGTTGAAATGTTAGATATTATGCAAATATTGATCGAAAAATAAGATGAGCAACAAGAAATGGAGAAAAAAAAAATAGAGATTCAGCAACAGTTGATTTATCTGGAGATGAAGAAGGTATTGGCAGAATCAGAGAAGGTATTGGCAGAAGCAATGAAGGCAGAAGCAGAAGCAGAGAAAGCAAAAGCAGAGGCGGACACAGCAAAAGCAACAGCAGTGCTAAGAATGCTTGAAGTCGAAATGATGAAGGCTAGGTTGAAACGAGAGGCCTCCGAAAAAAGAGAATCAATTTTTATTGAAAGAAGAAAATCATCTCCAAATAGCTCAAATAGCTCATCAAGATGGTCTCCATAGCAGGCTTTAAATAAATGTTTATAGTATTTTTGCGACTGTTCTCATCTGTTTAATGCTATTTGCATGAGCCTCCGCCGTTTATCTACTCCTGCCTATAGTAACTCTCTGAGCTGGGATGGTGCCAATTGGATATCAATGCCATCATCAATGTCTTCATCAATATTTCCACCAATGTCTTCACTGAAGATACCAGCAATCCCACCTTGCTCTGAGTCAACTTGCCTTCGCTCAAGGCCTTCATGAAGTAGCCTTATCTCCTCTCCTCTTATTTCAGCTCTATCGCCTCCTGTCCTAACATTATTACGAAAAAGGACATTCTCTTGGTGTACATCAAGGATCTCTGGCTTCTTGAGAATGTTGTGCAGCACAATACATGCAGAAATATGCATATTAGCCTGATTAACGGGTTGACGATTGACTATGTTGATTCTTAAAGAGTTTAGAGACTTCCACCTTCCTTTGAGCAATCCAAATGCATGCTCTATGTATGTCCTAGCTGAGCTAAGCATTACATTAAACCTTTTCTCGTCTCTTCGAGTTTGGCCATTGAATCCTGTTATAAAGGTAGGGTAAGGCAGTATGCCACATTGCCGATGATGTACTCGCCTTCTGAAAAGTACCTGTCTTTGTGTGTATATAGGTGTGTAAATTTGTACGCCGAAGAATCATGGCATCTTCCAGGATACCCCGTCGCAAAAAATATAAATGCCGAGCGATGGTCACACACAGCAGTAGCTCCCATGACAAAGTCACCATGCCTTGTAATCCAGCCATCCTTGTCATATGAAGGTGCTCGAAAAAATGGAAAGGTAGTCCCATCAATAGAGCCAAGCAGGCCAGGGAAGTCATGCTTTTTTTGAAATTGGCCCTTGATCCATGACCTTTCTTCCGCGTTTGGCCAAGACACGAACATTAGGACCAAGGAGCATATGGTTGTAATACATCGCTGATAATATTTTACCAATGATCCAACGGAAACACATAACATTCGAGACAGAGCACCATCTGAGGTATGGGATCCATCATGGGCAAGTATATGTATAGGGTGACCTTCAATTGAACAACAATATCTGCTTGCGGTTTTCTAAGCTTAGTGAAGGAGTGAAACTAAGTTTTGTAGCCTGAGAGAAGTGTCTGCAAGAGTAAGCCACATTTGCCTTTCAGCATGTGCATGTGCACATGAACTTCGTCCTGGCGACGAGCCCACCTACATCTTGCTCTACTATTCTCTACTATTCTCTCCCTCTCAATCCGCTCTTTCTTCAGTTCCAGTAACAGCAACAGCAACAACGAACAGTGAAAGTGAAGACTTATTTCTTGTTGTGTAGTGTGTGTCATTCATAGCGCATAGGTTTATTTTATTTTATTCTATTTATTAAATAGTCCCCCACAATGACGCTTCTCGAAAAGATTCTTTGTCGTCCATGCATCTTTTGTGAGATTGTGGAGGGCAAGATTCCGAACAAACTCATCTATAAGGCATGTTTTAGGAGGAGGAAGAGGTTCACATTAATAAATATAAAAAATACATGAACTGGCATTGCACATTCCTATTCTGTGTCCTGTGACCACTAATTAACAAACTAGCAAACTAACAAACTAACAAACTGACGCGTCTGTTCTTTGATCTATTTAGGATGACGATATTGCTGCGTTCAATGATATTAACCCAGCCGCTGATACCCATATCTTGATTGTACCTGTGGTTCACATTGATAACATCAAGACCGTAACCGTTGAGCATGCTGATCTGCTTGAAAAGATGAAGCAAAAGGGTATTGAGCTCCTTCGAGAACGTGGTCATGATCCCGAAACATCAAAGTGAGTTCTTTTTTTTTTTTTTTTGCTTCATTCTTTCTCTTTCGTTTTTACATTCTTTTTTTTTTTTTTTTTTTTTTTTGGGTGACATTTGCATGACTAATAAAAGACAGGTATGAGATGAAGAAAGGGAATACTAATTAACTTGAAACTGGAACGATGATAAACCCTCGTTTTCATATTCCAGACTAGGCTTTCATGTTCCTCCGTTCAACTCGATCGATCATCTTCATTTGCACGTCATCGGTGGTATACTCAAGTCTAGGTTTAGGAAACTGAAATACGAATCCGGCAGGATGTGGTATAAGGAAATGGTGCAATTACAAGCTGATCTTGAAAAGCAACGAAGAGCTCAGCAAGGGACTCCTCGTCTTTGAAGAAAAAAAAAAAAAAAAAAAAAGCTCTCCTTCCACAAACCACCATTTATTACTATTATTATTATTATTATTATTATTATTATTTTAAACGTGAGGGACAAAGATCGTTTTACAAAGCAATTATAGAAATATACCAATTTGGCAAGATAAACAAAGCATTTTTTTTTTTAGATCGTCATCATAAACAACACGTCTAAAATAAAAAGTACAGAGTGGACGCACGGCCCATAATTTTTGTAACCTTGCAATTTTGTCCACCCACTTGTCCGTCTAAATCATGGATAGATGAGAGAATGGTTAGCTTCTTCCCAAATAATGAACAGAGTATCTACTACACCGGCCGGTCTAACCGGATTGGTGTAATCTCTTTTCCGCAAATGGTAAAATCAAGTAGAAGGAACACATCTCTGCACGAATTAAAAAAGTATAATTTTATTTGAAAGGTGGGCAAACGGTTCTGGATCTTGGATCTTGGACGAATTACAGATGATCGAGCTGGATAAGCAATAAGAAAAAGTCAAAGGGTTGTAAGGTTTTATAGAAATAAAAGAATCATTTTTCTCGTAGTTCATATTTCCTCTGCCCCTCACATGCTAATGTGTTTGCATGATTTTTTTTTTTTTTTTTTTTTTTTTACCATCCATCATGACAAGATGGATAAACAGCAAACAAGTGGGCAAAAGCAAAAAAAAGATTGTATAGCCCAAGCCCATCTCTACGCCCTTTGTTCTGTTTACAGGCATGGTACTTTTTGTTTTAGGGTTACGCCGATCCTAGACACAATTTTTTATTTTTAGTCCAGCCACAGACACATTACCACTCTCTGACTTATTGACGACTTCTTTCCCCTGTCTCTGATGAGGAGGGCAAAAGATTCTCAAAAACACAGAAGGCTGTGCACCGAAGGGAAAAGAAAAATATTCCAAAGGCTGAGGAGCCATATCATCGGCGGTTTTGATCTCAGAAATAGGGGAGCCTGCCGGAGACTTTAAATGCCGAGGAAAACTGTCCACCGATTTTTTTTTTTCTTTATCTTTCCTTCCTTTCTTCCTTCCTTGTTGTTTCTTTCCACTGCATTTTTTTTTTCTTTGTTTCCTTTTCCTTTTTCCTCTCCTCTCTTTAGATCTTCTCACAAAGGCCATTTGCTGGTCCTCTCTTCCCTTCCATCTTCTTCTCTCCTTTTTTTAAAGAAAAAATTTCTTATTCCCCTATCCACTGGCTTTTTTTTTTTTTTTTTTTTTTTTTTTTTTGCAACAGCCATGAAGAAATTTTCAGGATATAACAGCCCATACCCTTCCAAGGGCATACGAACAAGGACTCTGATGGTCGTCGTCTTTATCGTCTTCATCTCTGCCTGGACCCTTCTCAGTAGTGTTGATCTAATTGATCTTAATTATAATAACAAAAGCACCATCACTACCTCTAATACGGGCCTTGAACATCAACAACAACAACAACAACAACAACAACAACAAAAACAGCAGAAAGATCAACAGCATGATCACAATGTCAATCAAGAAGAAGATACATTCCCGTCTCTCGAAGAGCTTCAGCCTCCTGTTTCCCTCCTTGATCCCAATACCAAATATTTTTCTTATCTACCCTTTGCAGGCCTGACAAATCAATTCATGGGTTTGCAAACGGCGGCGTTCATTGCTCAGAAACTTAACCGAACATTGATTCTCCCGCCGATCATCTCCAATACACACGATCACGATAATACACACCAACGGTGGTCGCGCTACTTTGATTTAGCAAGATTCACTCAGTTGACGGGCGTTTCTGTACTGGAGTGGGATTTTGTAAGACCACTGACATCAGCACAACGAAAAGTGGGTCGGGTTCGTTCGCTTCTGAAACGTCCTAATTATCATCCACCCCAGAATGCGATCAAAGCCTGGAATCTAATTGCAGAAAACCTAACCTGCCACATCATTTACGGTTACGGCGGCCCCGAGAGAGTCATCAACCATTCCGGTTGGAACTTTGCTACCCATTTCCTGTACAATCTCGTCGTCAAGGACCCTTTACCTCGAAGACCGGACATGCCGATCTATAATCGGACGTTAGTCGATGGGGAGACTAAAGGGTTAGATGAGCTGGTGGTGATGGACGATATCCTGGCAAGGTATCAAGACTTTGAGGATCAACTCTTGATGTTCACCCATACCTTCAAGATCAAGGATTTTGGACACAATCGATCGGATCGGATCTGGATGAATATCGGAAGACATATTCATTATGTACCAAAGTTGATGGAGTATGCAGCCGCTCGAGTCAATGATGTGCTCAAACAAGATCGTGGGGTTGAGGCAGTACCAAATGATGATCCAGAAGAGAAGGAAGATCAGAGTAGTGAAGAAGGAGGATCATCATCATCAACAACAACTCAAGAGCCTGTCAACAATAATACAGACGCAACAGAATCAGGCGAGACCTTCAATCCTGCGATAGCCAACATCAAGGCACCTTCGACTCGGATCCCACATATTGCAGTGCATATGCGACGAGGTGATATCTGGACAAAATGCAATGATCGAAATCGGGAAAGATGTATGGTCCCAATGGAACGTTACATCAATGCGGTGGCTCGTGCACAGACCCATGCTGTCACCCAGAAGGGATTTCATTCGAAGTTACCGGTGGTGGTAACAACGGATACGACTTCGGAAGGGGATCTGGCCATGTTGAAGAAACTGGGATGGCATCGAATGGAGCATGATGAATATGGAACCACAGAATTATGGGGATCCTTCGGGCCTGCGATGGTGGATGCAGCCATTTTAGTACAGGCAGATGAGTTTGTTGGTTCCCCAGCCTCGACTATGACAAAGATTGCAGCCAAACGACAAAAATCTTGGTATGACCGGGATGCTATCCTTCCCTAGTAGAAGGGAAAAAAAAGTTTTCTCTCTTTTTTTAAAAGAGACTGTTTATAGATATTTTTCAATCAATGGTATAACCCTTGTATATTTTTTTTAAAGTCTTTTTTTTCTCCAATGAGTTTTCCTGTTTTGTAAAATATTTTTTTTTTTTATAATAAAGTAGAGATGATCGTGAAGTGATTGTTTTTTTTTCTTTTTCTTTTTTTTTTTTTTTTTTTTTTTTTTTTTTAGTATGATTTGATCCTAACAACGTCTGCCAGGGACACCTTTGATATGACCGATAAGTTGGATACTATGGACAGGTTCATCATTTTCATTATTGTTGTTGTCTTCATCATCGCCAGCGTCATCATCATCATCATTCATATCCTCTGAGCCATCTGTCTTTTCCTGCCTCGTTGCTTGACCAGCGTCTTCTTGCTCAGTAACGAAAGAAGTGGTAGTAACTGGGTCTGATGTTGATGTTGATGTTGTCGACGGTTGAAAAGATACCTGCTCTTGCTCTTGCTCTTGCTCTTGTTGCTGATACGGCTGTCCTTCCTGCTCTTTCAGGCTTGTAGTATCCGTAGGACTGTTAGTATTGGTAAGCATGCTTGTTATGAAAGGAGGGATATATTATATTAAGAGAGAGAAGGAAAGAAGAAGCAGACTGAAAGGATTGCAAATGGAAGATCTTTATGAAGCCACAACCGCAACGTCCCAGGTGATGATTTTTCAGACCCACATGCTCAAAAATAATATTTTTAACCCTGTGTATGACATTGGGGCATGATCTAACGTTAGGAAAGACTAGAAAGGTTACAATATTTTGCAGTAAACCGAATCTGGTCAAGGTATCCACACCTATGTCCAAGTCCCTAGAAATATAGTACGGGAGTGCCTTTAGCAGTAAAGTTTGAAAGCTTATGATAGATAGAAGAATTAGCAATTGACCATGGATCATCTTCATGTCAAAGAAGCTACAGTGGATCGGTGACAAGACTGTATCCAGCAAGCTGAGAGACTCGCCAGTGTTTGCACTTGATCCAAAAAAATATCCTGCAGATCTGGAAAAATACACACGCGAGTCACTCTATTCAAGCGCGACGGCCCGAGTGAGCTTGAAAGACCCTATGTATGCGGCTCGTGTCTAAGCAGTGGGGGACGTGTCTTGATATATACCAATGATCAATGCCTCAGTCCAGCTACATCCCTCAATCACTGCCAACAGGGGGCAGACAAAGCCAATAAGATAAACACAGAGATGAAAAGCTCCAAAGCCCAATTTTTAGATTCTGGAGATATACAGTTCTGTTGATCTCTTTGGAGCAACTTTAATTGATCTGTCAATTACAGTACGCTGATACAGCTATGCTGTTCATATTCAAAAGCTCAGGGTGTACTTGTTCACAACCTCGACCATATCCTCAACATTTGTTGATAAAGAATTCATGAATGGTCAAAATGAATGTCGAAAGCATTTACATCGTCAATCAAGGCTATCTGCATCAATAGTTAAAGAGGTAAATAAGCAGTGCCTTTGAACGAAAGTATGCCCATTTGATCAATGTGTATAACATCAAGTTTGTTGAGCTAAGCGAGTTGCAGGAGTCAAGTGAAAGAATGGGCAAAGGGTTTCCAATATTAAGAGATCTAATGAAAGACGTCGGGCAGCGGCTCTCTGAATTTGTTCAACCTTGTAACACAAAAAAAGAGAAATAAGGAAGCCATTCCTCTTGTCATCATTCATCGAATTGCAACAGAAATGATGAAGCATCAATACCAACAATTCCGAAATGCTGACATTGTTGAAAAGGTTTTTGTTAGGACAGCTTCCACAACCGCCAGCAATGAGAATAATTCGCCATACTATGTGAGTTTACAAGACGTTCAGGATGTGTTTCCAGATGCATTGCGGTTCAAGTTGGAGGGACTTCCTATCCCCTTCCTTGTGGACGCTAATGGCAACAGGTACGTATTCGATCATGGTGTGCCATATCCATTTTCTCTGGAAAAAAAAAGACTCAATTTGATAAATCTTTTAATTTTATCCTTTTTAGAATTGAACCTCTACGCATCGCATTCTATCCTGATAAGATCCTGGATGTGATTACAAAAGTACCACAGCCCAATAGCAGCAACAGCGACGTCGCCATCCATTTGCCTACATCGAGGGGGTCGACACTTTCGGCCTTTCAGGAACTTGGTTTATCATCACGTTTGGTTCAATCTTCCAACCCATCCCTTATTTCCCACAACGATACACAAATCGGGACGATCAGGCCTGACCTTGATGAGATTAAAGAACTGTTACTGGAGGGCAGAGAGAACGACAACATGCTGCTTAAACTACAATTGGAAGCTAAAGAGAGTCACGAGAAAATGCTTAAATTGCAATCGGAGGTCCTTACTTTGCAACATCTAGCTCTTGACAGACTTGCTATCCTTCAAAAGCATGCTAAAGCTATCCTCGTCCAAAACTTTGAACTACACGAGTACTCCATCCCTCGACTCTTTATCATTTTCCCTGTCGACCGTCTCAAGTGGGACCCAAGGAATATCCTGAGCAACAAGCTCCGCCTCTACTTCCTGTGTGAATGTGGAGATACCACCAAATCAGGCGAGAGCGATCATGAACAAATCCATATTGCTAAACATGACGGATATGAGGTCCGAAATGGCACGGAATTCTTCCGCAAATATGGAAAGTACATGCTCATCCTTTTACAGTGGCTCAAGTTAGGGATGAAAACAACCCCGGTTACTGAGCTGACACCAGTCCCAAATGTGATCGAGGCCGGTCTCAATTACTCAATCGAGTATATGAAGGCACTCTCTATTGAGTATCCGACCTTGAAAAACATCAATACAATCGACGACTATGAGAAACTTGAAGGAGCAGATCTCCGACAGCTGAGCGCATTCCTTCGAATCAATGATGAAGAACAGCAACATGGAAACTTGTACAGGACCACGACAGAAGCAGGCCATGTCAAATGGGTTTGTCTCGACCACTATCATTCAGCATATAGAGAAAAAGAGCATAAAGCTTTCGTGAATGCAGTGGAGGTGAATGGAGGCAAATATAATCCGCACCTCGGTAAAGCGAGTGTGACATTGAACTCTAGAATCAGAGCTGAAGAATTCTTTGGAACTCTGACTAATGCGAAGCGCGTTTACGAGCTGCATATCGTATTCCGCTGGGAATGGACCAAGGCTGATCTTGAAGCGTTCAAGGACGCACTAAAGGAGTCCAGTGTATCGATCCTTCGACTTGAACTTGGATTGTTTCAAGAAAGTGCCGCCAGGAAAATACTCTCAACGTCCACACCATATGAAATATTGTTTCGCATCATAGAGCACCGGAGGTTGAGAGTGGTTTATATTATTCTACCCTCGAGCCTCATAAAAGTCCCTAGTCTACCACCCAAAAGATCAACACATCTTCACAAGTTAACCATTGAAGTGAATCCTCAACGGATTGGACCTAGTGAAATTCGAGCACTTGTGGCTTCACTCAAGACCAACACGGCCTTGACTTCCTTGGACTTGAAAGGCAACTCAATTGGGATCGAAGGAGTTCAGACGCTATCGGATGCACTTAAAACCAACACTACTTTGACCGCTATGAGCTTGAAGGGCAACTCAATTGGGGATGAAGGAACCCTTGCACTGTCAAAGGCACTCAAGGCCAACAAGACTCTGGCCATTTTGGATTTGGAAGCCAACTCGATTGGAGAAGAAGGTGCGCTTGCGCTGTCAGAGGCACTCAAGGTTAACAAGGCTTTGACCACTATGGGCTTAAGTTGGAACAAGCTTGGAGATGAAGGGACTACTGGTCTGTCAGAGGCGATCAAGACCAACAAGGCTTTAACTACTTTGGACTTGAATTACAACTCCATTGGGAAAGGAGGGGCTCGAGCACTGTCAGAAGCACTTAAAGTTAACATGGGTTTAACCACCTTGGACTTGAATTACAACTCTATTGGGAAAGAAGGAGCCCTTGCACTCTCTGAAGCGCTCAAGGTGAATACGACTTTGATCACCATGAGATTATGGAAAAACTCAATTAGGGATGAAGGAGCTCTTGCATTAGCAGAGGCGCTCAAGGTCAATACGGGTTTGACCACAATGAGCTTATGGAACAACTCAATTGAGGCTGAAGGAGCTCTGGGGCTGTCAGAGGCACTCAAGACTAATAGGACCTTGACCACTTTGTACTTGAATGACAACTCGATCGGAGCTGAAGGAGCTCTAGCACTGTCAGAAGCACTTAAGGTCAACACAGTTTTGGATACTTTGGGATTGGCTAGTAATTCAATTGGGAGAAATGGAATCTTAGCATTGTCAGAGGCTCTCAAGATCAACAAGGCTTTGTCCACTCTGGGATTGAGTGACAACTCAGTTGGGGACGAAGGAGCTTTGGCATTGTCAGAGGCACTCAAAACAAATACGACGCTGACGACTTTGTACTTGAGGAGCAGCTCAGTTGGGGATGAAGGAGCTATGGCACTATCAGAGGCACTTAAGACCAACAAAGCTTTGAACACTATAGACTTGACGGATAACCCAATTGGGGATGAAGGAACTCTGGCGCTGCTAGAGATGCTCAAGATCAACACAGCTTTGGTCCTCAGTAGGTGAGCAGAGGTTTGATCGAAGAAGAAAAATAAGAAAAAAACCCCCCCAAGAAGCTCTGGTACTGCTTGAAGGTACTCAATATTGTCTGATCAGCTTTGAATGATTTATTTGAGTTGCTTGGCTACACATAGTTTATTCGTTGATAGAGTGTGGAAGCAGTGAAGGGATATAGATAGACTTATTTAAATAAATATTATAGATAGCTAATTTGTGCCAGCTCAGGGTTTCCCTTACAGGAGGAATCTGGTATCCCAGCGTTGTTGGATATTCACTCTTCTTTTACCATACAATGCTTTGTTCTTAGTTCCATTAACACATTCATCCAAACACTGGCCTCTTTTTTTTTCACTTTTTCAAGGCTCGTCACGAGTCTAGCGACGCAGATAGGATCTGTGCACCCACCAGGCTTGGCGGGTACTAGGACGCCGCATCCTTTCTATAATAATTGCCGTCTTAGCACTCGGCTAAGCATTCTAGCATGGCTCCCCTCTTTCCTAAAAGATGTGACTGGTTTTCACGTCACATTGATTATTTTCCCACAGTCCTGAAATAAAGGAACTTTCTTTAACTTCATTGATGCAACTTTTTTCATATTTTCCTCCTTTGGTCGCATCCCTTTCTTCTTCCTCTCTTCCTTTTTCGTTTATTCCAAGCTTTCATTCATTACCTTTCCTTTTTTTGCCTTGCTCATTTTCCATTTTTGTTTTCATACAGTGCCCACGGGTGAAAGAGCAATAGAATATATCCTTGCCTATTTAACCATCATTCTCCCTGGATCTCAACCATACTCAGTCTCACCCATCTTAATATTCAATGGTCACCATAAGGGACCTAACACAAAATAACATAGCTACAAATAACTCCACAAGGAGCCAAGTACAAAAAAAAAAAAAAAAAAGGACTACAAATAGGTCTGAGGATGCCTCCAGGAGAGATGTGTCTCGGCTACGCTATTTAACCGAGGGCGACTTTGGGTATCACCTCAAAAAACAATTTAATTTAGTGATCGTGCTTGGAATATTGAATCTGACCACTTGTGTTTCGTATCTTTGTCTAGTACCAAAATGACGATTCGAAGATGACGAACCCGAGACCTCTCGAAAAGGACTCAGATTCGACAATTGGATTAAATACCAAGCGGTAAATGGCCCTATTAATTTGCCGCCGACTTTGATCAGTATGCTCAATAGTGATAATTACAAGCCTAAATCACGCGACAGATTCAAACAGACTCTTGATGGCAAGAAGGCTGGTGATCAAAACATATTGCCATCAATTGGACAGAGGCCCAAAGAGTTTGAACATGGCTTTCCAGGAGATTCATTTTTTGTTATGGAGCAGATGATTGGAGTGCGGAAAGAATTTTCAGCAGAGAGCAAGGATTCAATCAAGAAGATATTAGCAGGACCTATGGGAGTTGGAAAGTCCTATCTTGCCATTTTCCTTGCTGCCAAAGCCTATACGGAAGGATGGCCGGTACTCTACGTAGCAGATGCCGGCGAACTAGTTCAGTCAAAGCTCAGTGTGACGGGTACAGAAATATGCGAGCGATTTTTTGCCTTAAGTAAGGAGAGATTGACCTTTGCTGACTTCAAGGAGATTCTGAAGGCACTTTCAAGAGATACAATCGTTGAAGACACGGCGACGTCTACAACTTCTAGGATCCTTTCATCACTGGTCTGCCAGGTGGACAAGAAGGCCCTTGCTATCATCGATGAGCACGGCAAGCTTTTTGAAAATAATAAACCAGCGCCAAGCCTCTTCGAACCTTTGATTGACATCCATCTGTGGAAACCCGCGAGCAATGGAGCTCGAGCGATCTTTACCGGGACGGCGTTTGCTGGCTACGAAACTATAATACTCACCCGCGACGTCGATTCAATCCTAGAGTTTGTAAGTCCGCTCTCCAATACGGTTTTTGACAAACTTTTAGCATCAAGTCCCCTGCTATCAGAGGAAGATGTTAGGGAGGAGCCACAAACAACATTCCAAGGGAACTCAACATGCTGGTCAGGTTTCTTAACGAATCTGGATCCAAAGACGTACACCTGACTACTGTACAAAAAATTAAATATTCGAGGAAGAACGACGTGCATCCTTTGCAGAAGTTGCCCAGAAATACTATCAAAAACTTGACGATACGTCGAAGCAAATTCATCTCGAGGTCATTTCACGCATCTTTCAACCTAAAGCAAATGGAAACCTGCTCTATAAGCAAGTCCCAAGTGCATATCAGCTCAAGGACTTAGGCTTATTATATCGTGTCAAAGAAGGTGGCATGGTCGTATACCGATTCTTATGTCCGTCAGCCGAGCTTGCCCTTGTTGATTTCTACAGATTACAACCTCTTCCTCGAGATATAGCCAGTGCTCCTATTCGATTCGAACAAATCGAATTCGAATGGGCTCGAATGCATTCCAATCGAAAACGAATCGTGGTAAGTTCGAATCGATTCGAATAAGCCCTAACCTGGATCGATTCGAATGACGCGAATGGTTCGAATGGCTCGATAAGCATTCGAATAGGAGCACTGGATATAGCCATTGCCATGAAAAATGGAACATCGACCGGTGACCAGTTTGAAAGAGTGATCGAACATGGGTTTTTAAAGCAGAAGAAAGTCATATTTGAAACAACAGATCTCAGTGGAAGACCCAAGGCTCCTTTGGATATCCCATCGGAATTTTACGATATGACCACAGCGAAACCATCGAAAGTGGATGAAAATGTGTTACGGAAGTGCTACCGAGGATACCCTAGATTTGATTTCATTTACAATCGCACGTTTATTCAAGTATCATTTCAAAGTTTCGCTAAGCATGAAGAAACTAAAAGCAAACGGATTTCAAAGGCCTTTGAGAGAGACGATTATGATGAATCAGCAGTGGAGTCCAAGGGACACAAAGGAAAGCGGAGAGCAAGTAGCAAAGACTCGGATATTACGGATAACTCAGCTACGAACAATGAAGACGAAGTCAAAGTCGAAGTCAAAGTCAAAGTCAAAGACGATAGGAACCAGATTGAGGTTTATTTGGATGCAGTCTTTGGAGGAAAGTATACAGCACAGATTAATCCTAAGACAAAGCTTTTTGAGGCTTGGAAGGATGGCAAGATATTGAATGACTTTAGGGAGAGTCGCTGCGTAAGGCCAAGAATCTCAAGAAATGTAGCAAGTTCGAGGAATATCCCTGGCCTTTTACATGTAGACATTGACGAGCTTAAAGCCGAATTATTTGGAAACTTGATTGCATAGGATCGCAAAAGAAGATGAGAATCCTTCACTGCCAGGCAGTTTTTGAATATGGTCAATAATTTATATTCATACAGTAATACAATAAAAGTATAGAAATTTTTTGATGTTATTCTTACCTGAATGGATTACACCTGTCCCTCAAACTCCTCTTACGCACGGACCAGACTGGGGCGACGTCATGGTCAAATCGCAGGTCCTGAGAGGTGAAAATATTTGTCACAAATACTAAAAAGTAAAAGTGTCACTCTCTCATGTCTTGTGGCCTCGCCTGTCTTCTCTTCCTCCATATCCACTTGCTGTGGCGCTGCTTCACCCGGCCCCTGTTCGTCCTCATTCTGTACTACTTTGAACTTCCTGTTGTTCGTTGCAGAAACCTCGGCAATCATATGTTCAAAATATGCCTTTTCTTACATTATGTATCGACTATGTCGAGTGGATGAAAGCGACTTTGCTCCTTTATTATTTTTCAATTCTCGACGACGAAGCTGCTCACGCATTTCATTGGAAGAATAGGCGTTTTCGCAAAACAATGCTGTAATGTCTGGGTTTTGATGCATTTCCATGCGTAGGGAATTAGTGAAGGGCTTCTCCTTGTCATAGCTACGAACGAGATATGTTTCATAAGTAAGCATTTCCAAAAAGGCTCGCTTAAAGACACTTATAACTCCAGCATCAAGCGATTGAGTTACTGGGGTCGAGTTGTTTTGGTAGGTATCTTATCTTGATATGCTTCCATGAAATCCCCTCCTTAGCATCACGCATATCTATATTACTGTGGGCGCCGCGCCGGCCGAATCAAGGAGAAGAAGTGCTGTGACACTGTCACACCAATTAGAGATTGTCCTTTACCCTATTTCAATTCAGTAGAAGGTGATCAATAAAGGGATGAACGTTTCCCATTCACTTTCCTATCCAAATGATTCCAATTGATCACCCATACTCCACACTGGTGACGAGTCTAGAACTTTGCTTGGAAAAAATGCCCTTCCCTGTGGTGTGTAGAAAAATATGAGGGTTGCTTGGACTTTGAAAAAAAAAAAAAAAAAAAAAAAAAGAGCCATTCTCTGTGGCGAGAATGACAGCCTTTCCTGCGGTGTGTTCGACTTGGAGATTTTTACAAGTTTAAAAAAGAGACCCTTCAGCCAAAATGTCAAGTTTGTCCCAGCCTGAGAGAGAAGTGTCTGCAAGAGCAAGACACATTTGCCTTTCAGCATGTGCATGTACACATAAACTTCGTCCTCAGGCTGGTGACGAGCCTAGGAAAGCTGTACATGCTGCTTACAAAGCCACTTTACAAGATGAATGACAATATCTTATGTCATAGTCTCAAGGTTATCATTTCATTAACTACATTCATTTCATTAACAAAAAAAAAAAAAAAAAAACATTTACATTCTTCAACTCTTTGTTTGCTTTCTTTATTATTTTTAATATTCTCCTTCTTTCCACATTTTGTTATCTCACACACCGCAACAGAATTACAAAAAAAAAAAAAAAAAAAATGCCACAACCTCAGATATTAAAGTCTCCCGCGGTACTCTACCCTTTCCATGGGATCCAATATCTTTCGCAACACATCCCACAATTAGGTCCCCAATTCATCCGTTCACTCGCTGTCTCGTTCATCACCACCCTTGCGATCCTAATCCCACTCTCTGCACTCACCTATAAATTACAACGCCGACTCGTTTGGTCCGTCTTGCGTTTCATTTTCTCTACTTTTTCTTTTCTGGTCCCGTCTTCGCTTAAATCTTTATCCTTTTTGGGCCATAACCTAACCACATGGTCAACCCTTTTCCTCACCATGGGTGAGACCTCTCTCGTCGTCGCCCTGGTCATGGGTGAGGTCGTTAAAAGAGAGAAAACCAAGAGTCTTTTCAACGCCGTGCTGGTCCAGAACAATGTCTCGGTCGGTCCCCTAACTACGGTTACTCATCACCACCCTATTGCTGATACGACCCATACAAAGGATAAGGACGGTGAGAGCAGTGATAGTGATGATGATAATGCCAAGGACAATGATATCAAGTATAGACAAGATAGCGCTAGCAAGGATACAATCAACGTGGCCAGCACCAACTTGTCCCCACAGGTAACTCAACGTCGTAAACGGGATGTGATTAAATCAGCCTCGGTCGATTTGGGTCAGCGGATCCTGCTTTGGTTCGTGACGTTGCCTCTGAATTTCATCCCGGTGGTTGGACCTTTGACGTTCTGTTACATCAATGCGAAGGCACGTATTCCAGATATCCATCGACGTTACTTTGATCTGAAGGAGATGACAGTGGATGAGAGAGAGGCCTGGATCAAGGCACATCAAAGTGATTACAGAGCATTTGCGTTCGTCAGTCAAGCATTGGAGTTGATCCCATTATTGGGCATCTTTTTCAGCTTTACCAACACGATTGGGTAAGAATTACTACCGATGATGAAGAAGAAGAAAAAAAAAAGCTTAATTTAATTAATTTAAAAAAAAAATACTGACGTCAAATTTCTTACATCATTAAATAGTGCCGCACTTTGGGCCGTAGAGCTGGAGCGAGATCAAGAGACACTTCGAAAAAGCAAAAGAGAGTAGATGATGCTGGGTATTCCAAGCATAAACTCGCCAAAATTTGCAGATTAAGTACAGTAATAAAAGTTGTTTTTTTTTTTTTTTTTTTTTTACTTTTCGCATGATTAGCTTATTTGTATTATGTAAATGTATATGTGATTGTTCCCCCACGTCATGTTTTATCTGATTACTGGTTATGAGAAATAGAAAGAAGAGTTATGGGTCCGAGAACCCTACAAAAATTGCCGCATGAGAGGCAAGCTCCCATGAAGACGGGGTATGGATGAAAGTTTTCAAACAGCAATAAATTGACCTCAGCTGGAGCTTCACTGGTAAATTCATGCACCTGCACAAGGATGGGGAAAAAAAAAATGTTGTCGTCGCGTCCTTGAATTTATAGCTGTTTGGGACTGTTTCTGTCAACTCAGGAAAGGGGTTTTAGGATATGGGGGGATGTATTTTACTATTAAAGGGAGGCGGTTGAAATTAGGACATCTTTTGGTCAAAATGTGATAGTCACATATTTCAGTTGAGCTAACAGCAATTTTCACAAGCAACAGAATGGTCCGTGCCACAGTGTATGGACATTTAAAGGAGTAACATGGGTATAGCAAGAAGGCAGGACCGTGTCAAAAAGTAAAGGATGATCGATGACATCCGAGATCTTATTATTGCGATGGCGATAACGCGGCAAATCCTCATATCACTACCAAGACCGAGCCGAAGAGGGTTGTACGGTATATAAATATTTGAAAGGAAGGAAGGAGAAATACTTGAGCTACTTGTATACAAACAAAGCAACCTTATCTAGTTTGTTTTGTTTTATTTCTATTACCTACTTTCTTTCTTTTCTTTCTTTCTACTCTTTTTTATACTCAAAAACACTCCACTCTTCCTTCTTTTTTTTCCCCCTCATCCTTCCCCTCTCTCTTTATTCTCTTGCCTTAACTCCATGATGATGCAGATTCAGAATCAAAACGCTTTCAAATATTGGCAAGTCAACAGAGAAAGGATTTTTTTTTTTTTTTTTTTTTTTTTTTTTAATTTTTATTCCTATCAGTGATTGGCGATCCTTGTCTCCATTTAATCTAATGGGTGTTGTCTTTTCTTCATTAGGTCTCCAATTGCTTACACCCGTTTCATCCTCTATATCAGTATGCTAACATAACCCAAAAGAACTTTGCCCTTGCAGAAACTCTCAAGTTAATCCATCGACACTAAAAACATATCTTTTCTCTTTTTCTCCTTCTCTCCCTCTCTCCCTCTTCCCTGCATCTATTTAATCATTTCAAATCTACTCCCGGTTGATGTCCCTCCATCAGCTGCCAATGTTCTCAGAACGACTGTTCGTCATTTATTTGGTCGGACCCCAAAGGGTCAAACGCTCTTCCAGGGATACGTTATCCAGATCTTGAAATTGGTCATGGAAGTAAGAGTCCTCAATACGACTCAAGCAAGGAAAACAATGGGTCTAATCAACACATTCTTTGTTCATCTCGCCAACGGAACATTCAGACAATCTTCTAAAGATCAATGGGCCCTCAAGGTCAGAGGTCAGGGATGGGAAGGCTTCTGGATCCCCTTCAGGAACCATGCTTCAAAACAACAACTCAAGTCGGATCTTCAAAGAAAAATCACTGAAGCTGATATCGGCAAGGATTGTGATATTGTCATGTTTGCAATCCATGGTAAGGGCTCCTACTACATTTATCGTGTGGGACGAGTATTCTTTTCTCTTTTTTTTTTTTTTTTTTTTTTTTTTTTTTTTTTCTACTTTAAAAAAGAAGAAGAAAAAAAAAAAAGCACAAAAGCACGGTCCTATTGCTCAATTTATTTTTATTTATTTATTTTAAAAAAAAAAAAAAAAAAAAAAAAGAAATAACAAATCATATGTTTCATTGTTGTTAATAATAATTTGTTTTTCCTTTGTTATTATTAGGTGGAGGAATGGTGATGGGTGACGCGCTCATGTTCCTGGGCAACTATCGTTCATGGATGAAGGAGCTACAGCTTAAGCACAACATCAAGATTGGACTCCTCTCAATCGAATACTGTAACGTCCTTTCTCTCTCTCTCTCTCTTTCTCTATTCTTTTTCTTTTTATTTTTAATTTTATTTTCTATTAACACAAAACATGTTTTAACAAAAAAATCGATTCTTCTTTTCCCAATACTTTCTTCTTAGCCTTGTCACCTGAGGCCCCTTATCCTACTGCTCTTAATGAGTGTGTGGCAGCATATAGAGATCTTGTTGAGCGTCGAGGAGTGGATCCCAGGAAGATCGTCATGTGTAAGCAAAACAAGCGCTCAATAACCCAAAAAAAAAAAAAAAAAAAAAAATCAACTAGCATTATTCCCGTTAAACTAACATGTATTTATATTTATATCTATATTTATATTCATACAGGCGGAGATTCCGCTGGAGGAAACCTGTGCCTGACAACGGCACTCAGGATTCGCGACGACTATCCCAATGTGGGCTTACCTGCTGGCCAGGTCCTCTTCTCACCCTGGGTCATGTGTCCTAAACCTCTTCGTGATTCTCCTCATGATTACATCTGTAATCATGGAGGTCGAATCTTCTCAGAGGCCTATACTCAGAACCTGGCCAAGGTCCAAACCAGTCCTTATGCCTCCCCTATCCGTACCCCAACCTTGGCTGGTATGCCCCGTATGCAGATCTTCATCGGTGGTGTCGAAACCCTTAGACCTTCGATCGAGGCCTTCGTAGAGAAGGCTACAGCCGAGGGTATTGATCTAGAAGTTCATATGAAGCCCGGTAAAGCTCATGATTATGCTATTATCCCCGATATCGCAGGAGAGAAGACCGTTGCTGAAGCGACCCAACAGATCGCAACCTTTATTGCCCGTATCCGAAACGATTATGTTAAAAGCTCAAAGACTCACGACTAAAAAAAGTATTGCATGAATAAACATCTGCAATCCATCTACAGTTTTTGATGAGTAGAAATAAAAAATAATAATAATAATAAAAGTCACCGTTTATTGCCACTTAAATAACACATGCGTGTGTGTGTAAACAGAATGTAAAAAGGAAATTTACGTGTTAATTAAATGACCCCCTTTTTTTTTTTTTTTTATTCCTTCATCGTTTTGTAGGCTTTTTTTTAAGAAAAAAAAAAAAAAAAAAAAAAAAAGTTTCCCCGAGTTTGACATGACAGATATTATTATTCCTTGATACCAAAGACACGAAGGCTACGATCCAAACCACCTGTAACAAGATAATCGCCCAATGGTCCAAACTTCAAACTAGTAATCTCAGCCGTGTTATCAGTGAGATTAGCCAACTCTTGCCATGTTTTGACCTTGAAAATACTGTTAAATGAAAAAAATAAATAAAGAATATAAAAAAATAATGAGTAAGTATCCCAACTTTTTTTTTTTTTTTTTTTTTTTTTTTTAACGATAACACCCTTACCGAACATCAGTGCCTCCAACTCCGAGATATGTTCCAGATTGATCCCAAGCCAAAGCATTGATGATACCTTCGTCCGCAACCTTTATCTTTTGTACAATCTCCAATGTTCTCAAATTCCAAATACTGACTTCATTATTCTCTCCAGCCGCAGCCAATAGGTATCCATTTTCACTAAAGGTCATCGTCTTGACCGCACCAACATGACCCTCAAAAGAGGCAACAGACTCTTTAGTGCGAACATCCCAAATCTTGATAGCAGAATCCGTTGTACCAGTACCAAACAAAAGACCATCTGGATGGAACGATGCTGAGGAATATCCCTTCGTCACATCATCCGACCGGACAGATAAAAGAGTCGAACCCGTCTCAAGATCATGGAAACCCCATGACGAGTCCATAGAAGCTGTCGCAACATAATCCTTCGTAGGATGTACACACAATCCAGTCACCTCTGCAGTGTGTCCCGAAAGTGTGTGTGCTGCAGTATAGCCATTGCCCTTCTCTGCCGGGGTCCAGATCTTGACCGTTTGATCTGCAGACGCAGTCAAAGCCATATCCTGAAGTGCCTCCTCAGAACGTCCTGTCCATGTGACGTGGGTGATTTTCTTTGAGTGCCCCTTCAATGTTGCAACGACCTTCTCCTCTGCCTGGCTAAAGACCAATGCGTTCTTGTCGTTGCCTCCAGTCAAAATTAGTCCATTCTTTGCATCCAGATCCAAACTTGTAATACCTGGTGACCGAGCAGCATGCAGTCCTGGGAACACCTTGCGTTGTGTATAGGTCTGAACAGCCTCTGCTGTCACATTGGGCTTACGCTTACGGGTCTTTGACAGAACTGCAGTCGTCGCCTCGAGCTTCTCACGAACCTCAGCAGACAATCCCGAAGCATCCTCCATAGCAACATCTGCTGTCTCCCCAGTTGTAGTCGTCGATGCCTGTGTACCCAAATGTGCTTGAACGTTAGCAAGGGCCCTAATAATAATAATAATAAAGAATAAAGAATAGAATTAGAGTCGAGGTAGTAGAATCACACACTCTTTGGCTGTTGAAGAATACATATTAAAAAAAGAAAAGAAAAGACATACTCGCGAGCAGCATCGCGTTCCTTCATAAGACGGGCAATGACTCTGCATGCTGCATCATGTTGATAAAGAGCGTGACTGAGTTCTTGACGAACTTGTTGGTATTGTTGCTTCAATGTGAATGTCTCAAGCATAATAGAATCCCATTCCTTCTGGAGTACGGAGAGGATAGAGGGAATAGAGGACATTGTAGGAGGACGAGGTCTAACCGTGCCCGGAGCTGGTTTTTTTTTTTTTTTTTTTTTTTTTTTTTTTATAAATAAATAAATAAAAAAATAAAAAAAACAATGAGTGATAATCCATGTCAATCTCCTTTTCTTTTACTTGAGGTCCTATAACAACAATAACAATAATTAATTCACCCAATAAACTTACTGGTCTTGATGTCCAAAAGGTCTTCCACAGAGAGCTCCTCGCCCGAAACAGGATCCTTTCCATTGTCCTCAATGTACTTTACAATCAAACGGCGTTCATACACTTGTCCATTCTTTTTGGATACTACAGGCTGCTCAGGCGCCTCACCGGAAACTAGTTAAAACAAATGAATTTAAAAAAAAAAAAAAAAAAAAAAAAATGGGCAGAAATAACGATCGTGATCAGTTGTTAATTAAATGTGATCACAAAAGATCGCGTCATTGTTCTCTTTTCCATCCTTGATCCTTGAGCGTCAAAATATAAAAAAAGAAAAAAAGCAAGTTGCTGCAACAAATCCTGTAACGTCTACAAGGCTCCGTGAATCTTTGACTTACTTGCACAAAACATGTTGGTGTGGAGTAGAGCTGCTGAGATGTGAGAAGAATGAGAGAAGGTTGAAAGAGAGATGATACTTTCTAAAAAAAAATTCAAAGTGACGTAGATCAACTTCTAAATTTTTTTGGTGGCGCGCTTTGTTCAAGTCTACTAATCTAACTTTTTTTTTTTTTTTTTTTTTTTATTTGTAATAAAATGAAAAATACTAAAAAAAACTAAACGTTGGCACCCATAAGCTGTGCTCTCAATTGAATAATATTCGCACGTTGCTCCTCTGGCAGCGATGCAATATCCGCAGGTGTCAAAGCCAGCACTTGAGCGACCAAGGCCTTCTGTTGCTCTAAAAAAAAAAAAAAAAAAAAAAAAAAAAACATATAGCAATCGGGTGTCAAGCAGACATTAGCATAAAGCAAAAGATGTATTTGCCTACAGTTAGCGAAGCATAAAAAAATAAAAAAAAGACAGAGACAACTAAAGACTTTTAGCACAACATACCAAGAGAAGGTGCCATGGGGACACTTGGCTGAGATGGAGGTTGAGGTTGAGGTTGAGGTTGGTGTTGATGTTGAGGTTGAAGTTGAGGCTGAGGTGGAAGTTGAGGTTGAGTTTGGGGCGAAGGTTGAGGGGGCTGTGGTCCTGGAGGCATGCCAGCAAATGGTGGTGGTGCAAACTGCGGTGGAGGCGCCATCCCCATACGCGGTGGAGGGATTGGAAGGTGTTGCTGTGGTGTAGGCGCATTCGGGACAGGAGGTTTAGGCCCTTGTGCTGCCGGAAACATACGCTATGTTAATGAAGAAAAGTTTAAAGAGAATGAAAAAGGATCAGTGCCTGTGCTTGTATATATATATATATATATATATTAATCAAAGGTTATGCTTTCCTACTTGTAGCGAACTGGGCTCTACCAAGTTCATCATGAGAAGCGCTTGAAACAGCGCATAGGATAATTGTGGGTTGGCATTGAGTACAGCCTTGGCCCTTTCTGGCTCTGTAGCTCCCAGAACCTTCATGGATGAAATCAAGTCAAAAACATTCTTTGGTGTCATAGTCGCTAATACTGCAGAGATTGCGTCTGCTGAGTTTGGTACAGGTGGCACCATGGGAGGTGGAATAGGACCTCCGGCCATAGGCGGTTGTGGAATAGGTGGACGGTTAAGTGGGGGTGTAGCATTTGCATTCATAGCGATCCGTGGATCTAATCTGGGTCCTGCACCCTGTGGAGGGATCAAAGATGGAGGTTGCTGTTGTTGTTGCTGCTGTTGCTGTTGCTGTTGCTGTTGAAGATGTGGCGGCATGGGTAGTGGAGGAGCTATATGTCCTCCAGCTCCGGGTCCAATATTCCTGATGAATGAACCCTCCTCAAGATCACGTCCACCATTACGCGCTGGATCTGTCTCTGCATAGTCTACTTTCAGTGATCGATTACCAATCTCTCTCCCATTAAGGTTCCTGACTGCAGATGCTGCTGTCCTTTCATCCTGAAATTCACAAAATCCATAACCTCTAGGCTTCCCTGTCTCGCGTTCAAACACTAGTCTAATGTAGGAAAAGAAAAGAAAGCGTTACTATCAGATCGGCTTTAAAATGATTCTCATTTTTATGAAGATCCGTCTTTTTTTTTTTCCGGCGCAGAAGCTGGTGTCGTACCTAAAGTTGACTACAGGGCCAACTTCACTAAAGATTTCAATTAACTGCTCCTCAGTCTGCTCGTATGGAATGTTTCCAACTTGGTTGTTTAAAAAAAGCAAGAGAAAGTAATGTCAGTAAGAGTAGAAAGGATAGAAGAAGAAAGTAATAGACCATCTATTTTCAAATGGCTCCAGGTGTTACCGAAGACGACCTTTGACCCGTTCATTTGAAATGTGAAGCTAAAATTGGAGGATGTAGCAGGAATGAAGTAACATCCTAATGACTTTTTGACTGGAAATAAAATAAAACAGATCGACTCCACTATCACGTGCACTATCACGAGACCACCCTGTTCCTGAGAAAATAAATAAAATAAATAAAAAATTCTTCTTTGTTCTTTTACTTTTTTTAACATTTTTACCCTTTTGCCATTTTCCACTCTTTAACACAATTCCACATCCTTTCTTCTGTATAACAACCCTTTACGCCCTTTACTCTTTTCTCTTCATCAAAAAAAAAAATAGAAGTAAAAAAATCCATGTCTGATATTCAAAACTTTAATTCTTATGGTAAAAGATTTTTCATCTTTTTTTAAACAAAAACACGATCTTAATCTAGATCTTGTAGATCTTGGAAAACTAAATATCTTTTTATTTTTTTGTATTTCTTGTAATGAATAGATCCATTTGCCGATGTTGGCAATTCTATCGACAGCGCCTCTCAACAGGAATATATCCGTATGTGACCCATTCAATCTAATTCATTTCAATTTTTTTTTTTAATCCCAAGTTTTGCTTCCTCTCATTTCCCCTATTTTACCCCTTAATCCTCGTAAGAGGGGGAGGGGGCGAGATATTTCACATGGGCAAGCAGAAAAACAAAAAAAAAAAAAAAAAAAAAAAAAAAAATGTGATGATAACTTTTTATTCCCGAAGCAGGGCTTTGACAGGCCGTTTTGGTTCTGTTTCCTGCGTTGACGTTCGTATATTTTTATATACACCTTATGTCATAGTTACACTGATTATTTTTTTTTGACAAGAATGCTTCTGATTGCCCCATATTCAACTCTTCTTTACCTCTTTTTACTCCATTTATTATCTCATGGCTCAATTGATTAATCTTTTTTTAATACCTCTTTTTGTTTTCTGTTTTAACAGATATTCGTATCCAGCAGCGTAACGGACGCAAGACTTTGACAACAATCCAAGGACTTCCTGCTAGCTTTGACAAGAAACGTATGCTCAAGATTTTCAAGAAGGACTTTGCCTGTAATGGAACTCTTGTTGAGGATGAAGAACTGGGATCTGTCATCCAGCTTCAGGGTGATCAGCGTACCAAGGTCATGAGTCTTCTTGTTGAAGAGGGTGGTGTCGATAAGAAACAGATCAAGATTCACGGCTTTTAAAAAAAAAAAAGAAAAGAAAAAAGAAAAAAAAACTTCCTTTCAAGCAAGACTGTGATTTTTGTCATTTACTATCTCTTGTAGTTTTGTTTTTATTCCACTTTTGCTTGCTTGTAGATTATCAACTTGTATCATTAAATAATATTCTTTCACATACAAATTGAGATACTGAAGTAGATCCATGTAATTTGAAACGAGCATACCTTCAAACGCGCTACTCAGTGTATTACAGCTGCTATTCCTTTCGAGGATGAATTCTGCTTTTTCTTTGGAATTAATCATGTCCATATTAGATTCTACAGATCATCTGAATCTTTTTCGTGAGCTCTTCTCATACCCCTTGCTCTACCAATGTCTGTCTTTCACTCCACCTCTACCAGTTTAAAACCTCTCATGCCTTTATTCTATTTTTTTTTTTATAAAAAAAAAAAAAAAAAAAAAAAAAGTCGCGTATATCAGCTTGGTGAAAAAGTCATAGAGAACAAGGAAAACAATTGCAATAGCCATGAGTTATACTGCATCCACCAAAGGCATACAACCAGGCTGTCAAATAAAGAAAAACGCGTAAAATAAAAAATAAAACATACAATACAATATGATACTGAAATGGGCCCCATATCTTACACGACTGATTTACATCAGTTTGGAGCCTTCCTAAAACTGCTCCCACAACTTTCGGTTACAACCGTTCTTGTTAGTGCCCAAATAACTCGTTTATCAGCTGTCTTTTCTAAAAAGGATCTCTTGCTCCAACCTTACCTGTTCCACCTGTCTTTCCTCCCCCAATGCTAACTAATCTGCTCTGCTCGCCTATTTATTTTGCCTTGCTCCAATGTCAACACATTCCTTTTTTTTTTTTTTTCTTTTATATATAAATATATAAAGTATGGTAGACGGGGCTATTTATTAGGATAAATGAAAAGAGATTCATTGCGTACATAGAAACCATGAAGACATATCAATATCTCATTTCATGATTGTACAGCATCACGACAAACCACGCGACAAAGCGTGGCTCGTGCTCAAATAAAGTTAAATCATGGACCCAGCATTCATCGTTAGCTTGACCTTTTACCTTTATTTTTCTTTATTCAAGGCTGCTTTATGTCGCACGTTCTATACATTGGACTGCAGAGCCTATCAATATTTGCATAAATGTGCCCTTTCAGTACCACACATAAAGAATTTTTTTTTTTTTTTTTTTTTTTGCATATTTAACTGGACTAAATAGCTGTTGTACAGCAATGCTAACGTTCAAAGGCCCACGTCTTGGTCATCACTCACTCCCTGACTCTGGAGACAAACGTTTTACAAGAGTAAAGTAACACTCCTTAAAAAAGCTCCATTCCTAAAAGCCCTCATCTCTCTCTCGCTCCATATGCACTGTTCGTGTTCTGACTTTATTTCTTCTTACTGGTAGAGGCGAAGCGAATGGTAGTCATTAGTAGAGTGAGAAGGTAGTTTAGAAGAGCCCACGTAAAATCCCATGCGACACTGTAGGATCTAATCCAGACATGGCTAGTGATGTGCAGAGACGCTTAAGAAAGAGTTGTCCTTGAAAGGAAAGGCAGTCATTATGCTGTGTACCCAGGATGTGCTAGACCTAAGGTCTGATCAGCAAAAAAAAAAAAAAAAAAAAAACGGATAGAGAAATCACTTTTAGCAGGAAATGGAGGACGGCTGAAAGAGCGTACGATTGTCCGTCGATAGTATATACCAATGAGTTGCTGCTTTCATACCCGACTCTATCCTTCTCTTCCTGCTTTCCGCTTTTGACCTCAATCGCGACACATGTTCGCTTGTATCTACATTTTTTGATCAGTATGGGGCAAAATAGACGTTGCCTCTGCAACTCTGGACAATAAAGTATTCGATATGCTTCTTTTATTTGTCTAACATTGATTTCACTCATTCTATCCACATTCCTCTCCCTTCCTCTCCTTTCCCGCTTACCGACACGCCAAACTCCCCACCAGTGCCTTCCTCCTCTTCTTCTACTTCTTTTTCATCTGCTGGTAACAGCACAGGGAGCGCTGTCGGCTTTGTCCAATACTGTCTTCAAACTACCTAAATCCGTTGATATGCTTGCACACCAGTTGCCGAAGAAAGTCCTGATAATCTGCCCACTAGCCTCAAGACCGCCCAACTTTTCTCTCCACCAATACTTCTAGGACACCATTAAGTACAGCTACCGCACTAGACAGGGGGAGTGGAACGCAATACCACGCCAATAGTCGGCATCAAACGCAATGGCCAGGCCCAAAGCATGAAGATTACGGCCAGGATGGATAGTCCAGAAAATGGAAATCAATTTGGAATCCATTGAATACTAACGTAGACTTCTGAACACAGGAGAAATATTGCTGCTTGGTAGCTAGATATAGTCGTTTCCAGACAGGTGCTTTGAGTTTCCAGAGGGCAAGCTAGCTCACACAAGGCTTCTGCTACGAAGCTAATATTAAAGTGCAAACAGCGCTGAGCGCGGCACCCTGACAAAGGTTCTCATGTATTTGGGCCTGACAATCAAATCCAATGCGGACTATTGAAGCGGTATTATAGCCTATTCCTCTGGCTGGAATAGTGATCGTGCTGTCGATATCTCAGAAATGATGAGAGAAAGCAGAGCCGAACAATGTTGAGGCTAATGAGCAAGTTGTCAGGCCCTTCTTTGGCATGTGTTGTGTGTTCGTATCAATGAACTAGTAATCTTAAAGTCGGTATAGACGCGTAGTCGATGACGCTCCCTGTGGTGCCTCCACCAGATGTGAAGGTAGGGGTTGACAAAAAAAAAAAAAAAAGAAGAAGAAGAAGAGAGAGAGGAAAACAGCCCGGATGCAAAGTTGGGCGAGTCGGGGAGTGAGGAAGGAGAAGAAGGACGAGAAGAGTATGTAGATTATAGGTTGAATCAATGTTGGTGGTAAGGTCCATCTTGAAAGATGACATCGAGGATATAAAAAAGCGAAAGAGGTTTAAAGGTAGAAACCCACTGCTGCCTGAGGCGAGGAAGGTGACGAGAAGTAAAATAGAGAAGAGGCGGAGAAGCCATGTTGCTATGGTGTTAGGACAAAAGGGAAACGGATGATAGATGTGAATCTGGGTGTAAAAAGAGAAAGGAAAAAAAAAAAACAAGCGAGCACTTTATACACTTGTGATGTGGCAAAGTTGATCAAATGAGGATTATCCCTATCCTTTTCTGCTGCGCACGCATTTCTTGGTTCATTACCCCATGTCAGGACCAATATGTGGATATGATTGCGATCATCTTGGCAATCCGCTGTGTGCGTGCAACGTTTTAGTACCAGTCGTTTGGCAATCAGCATGGCTCGTGCTCAAATAACGTTAGCTATTTGACAGGCCTTTACAAGCTTGTTTATATTGGTGGCGAGCGATTTTTATTGTTTATTTGTTTTTGTTTATTCTTCATTGTTCATTGTTCATTGTTCATTTTATATTACTTTCTATGGATATAATTCCCCCAGTAAGATTGACGTGCATGTCTACACCTGGCTACACATGATGCCAGATGCGAATGCGTCAGCAGCGCATAGCTCTCAGGCTCTGTTGGATCCTGAGGCCCGTGAGAGCATGGCTGCTTTAGTTATTTAGCTTCGTCGGGAGCGACGAATCGTCAATGAGACACGTTCATCTCTTTAATTATCACACAGGCTACGTTTAATGGGGCTGAGTAGCTAAGTGCATAACCATGTGACGATAACGCCACGGCCTCCGACTGTTATTTGGAAGCGTACCGAGGGGCGCTTCCATTTTTATTCATGAGGTCAAAACATTATGTCGCGGTTATGGTGGAGCCCCAATAAAAGGACCCCACCTGGCGACGATAAACATCTTGACCTCCTTGGCCCTTTTGCATCGATTCCCATAAAACGCTTCAACAACACCCCGCCGGGCCATGGTTTCGAGGCTCTCTTGGTGTCCTTACTGCTGAAGATGGAGCCACGATATTTCAGCTTTGCGCAGTAAGGCAAACGAAGTCCTTGATTGCCGATGTGATGCGCTCGCCCCAGCCACCAAATGGAAGAAGAAATGTATCGGGGCTGGGCACATGCTTGGCGAGGCTCATTACGCTGCTGAAGGACGGATTACGGCTGCCGGGCGAGTCCCCTTGTTGGGACCTCGCCATAGCCATTACGTAATAGCTTGATCTTTTGAATAAAAATGGGAGTGCCTCAGAGGTGCACTCCCAAGCCTCAGGAAGTTATAGAGAGGTGGAGGCTTGCCTCATGGGCTCCAGGACGATGAGAAATGGAGCTCTGATACCCGATACCGGAAGGCAAGACCCCATGGACATGGCGTTCCTGTAAAGGAGGAACTGGAGGTGAGGTAGGCATTCCCAGGATGTTGGCGCAGTACCGCTCATATTCTGGAACCAAGGACACCGTAACTGTATTATCTTGGTGGCGGCACTCATTTTCTGATTCGATCCATCGAACTCAACGCCAATAAAGGATGTGGCGTTCCGCTGTACTCAACTGGTCCCAACGGAGGAAGTCGAATTAAATTGTGGCAAGAGCAGCGAACAAGCCGCCAGGCTCTTCTTCGGCAACTGATGTGCAGTCATATCGGCCAGCTCAGGAGGCTCAAAGACGGAAAAGGGGGTGAAACCAGCGACATTTCATGTGGTGCCCCTAGCAAACGGAAGGTAGCTGAAGATGGTGTTGATAGGGAGTTTAGCAAGTTGGAGGATGGGAAAAAAGGAGGTGAAGGAGGGGGGGTGTGAGTGGACAAAGTAGGATCAGTACTAGGGTTGGAGAAGAAGCCATGTAATTTTAGAGAGAGATCTTGATGATGCAAGGTTGACGTGAAAGCGGAAATGATGGAGGTGGCGTGGAGTGAAAGAGAGGAAAGAAAAGAGAAAGAGAGAGGAGAGGTAAGCTTTTTATACGTTGTGTGACCTGATTGGAAAAAGCGCGTTCATTTCCTGCATTGTCAGCGTCTACACGTGACACATCCATGATTACAGCGTGCGTTCAGCTGTAAAGTCATTTCTTTGCATGGACGTGGCTCGTGCTCAAATAAAGTTCTTGATAAGCTTTTTTGTTTAGATCGTTCCCATTTGCTTCTGCTCCAAACTTGAACAGAGGGCTGTATATATAAATATATACTGTAGATCCTTCCGTTGCTGAGCCGCATTACATATGGTCCTCATTGTGATTAGTGTATTTCAGTGATGATACTCCTCTTTTTCCAATGTTCAAAATTGCATACATGCAATGTTTTTTCCATTGCAGTCCTTTTGAATGATGGATACAAACGTTTCCCGCTCTGATCGATCAAGTTAATCTTTTTTTTTTTTTTTTTTTTTTATCTTTTTTCTTTTTTTTATTTAAGATAAGGGTTAGAAAAATGGTTACGATCAAATCTTTCATCTTTCATTTTTCTTCTTTCTTCTTCTTTCTTCTTCTTTATTTATGCCTTGACGGCATACTTGCGAAGAGGGAAGTGAGTATCCTTCTTCTGCTGCTTAACAGTCTTGCGGGAAGCCTCGTGCTTGGTAAGACGGCGACGGATAGCGCGAGTCTTCTTGACACGGAGATCCAAAGGCAAGAAGTTCTTCTTTTGGTAGAAGATACGAAGTTGAGCGCGTTGGGTCTGAGTGATAACAGTCAAGACACGGGCAATCGACTTGCGGACAGCAGAGCTAATAAAAAGATACCAGAGGTTTCCACCATTAGTTGTTCGTATTCATACACACAAAAAAAAAAAGCATGATGAGATATGTAGTGACTGAAAACATATGAAATCTCCTTCAACAACCCTGTAACTATTTCTTTGTTATTGTTGTTGTTGATTGAAATTTGCCCAAAGTGATATGAATGACGCCTCATCTTGCTCAATCCTCGACATAAAAAATATATATATGGTCCATTCCTTCGTTTTTAAGCGAGCAGTAAACGCTACACTGTTCTTTTTCTTTTTTTCCTCGACTGATAAACGAACTCGTAAGACACGAAAAAAAAAAAAAAAAAAAAAAAAAAAAAGAGGCAAAATGTTTGTCTTTCCCTGATAACATCGTAGCAACTAACTCCTTTTTTTTTTCAGAGGTTGTTGCTGACAGAAAAAAAAAATGTTCTGGGATATTCCTTGCTTCTTGAAAGGTTTGACTCACGAATAATAATAAATAAATAATGACTTTTTTTTGCGTTTGTCCAGTATATAGTATCCTTACATCCTGGTCAATTTGCTGGAAGAACCGCCGGCAACCTTCTGAACCTTGAGGGCAGCGAGCTCCTGCTTGAGTTCCTCAAGCTGCTTGGTGAGCTCAGCCTTGTTCTTGGTGCGCAACTCGTGAGCCTTAACAGCAGCCTAACAACACATATATATGTTATATAGAGATAAGCAATATGAAATGTTTGGGAAGATCAGTTCAAACGCTCTATTCCTCTTTATGATATTCTGATACTGTGATACCGAAAAAAAACCATTGCTGTCCAAGGGGGTTGTTGCGGTTTTTTTTTTTTTTGCGTATGCGTAACTAATAAAAAATTGCCGTAAGCTGCCGATTGTGTCAAAGTGATCATCAGATAATGCAATATAATGGATCTCTGTTCTCTGTTTAGTGTGATCTTGCATTCTTCTAATTCTTGCTTTTTTGGCCATTCTGCAAATGTTGAATCAGAGGTTCCCCATGCATTAAGTGATTAATCGATCCCATGAAAGTTTTTTTTTTTTTTTTCTTCCTGGAGCTTCGTAATAGTTGATTGATAGCAGTTTTGTTGCAGAGATACGTTGATGGATGGATCGATGGATATCCCTTTTCTTTTCTTTTTTTTCCCTTTTTCTAAAGCTCAAAAGTACCATTTGAATTTGATTTGGATTGAGGGAAAGAAAGAACCACTGCAAATTGCAGTGTCACAGTTCTCACATTAGAAATTGGCCAATTTAAGGGGTGTCAACTGACCATAAAATTAGAACATCATTTTGGTTGGCTAGATTTAGGAAATCAAAAAAAAAAAAAAAAAAAAAAAAAAATGCATATCCAGAACGCGTTCAAAAAAAAAAAAAAAGAAAAAAACTACGGCAAGGATAGGAAAAAAAAAAAAAAAAAAAAAAAAAAAAAAAAAAAAGGTGTGTGGTTAGTGCATTCTTTTTCCCGACGGACATGAAACGGAATAGGCAATTTTGTATATCTTAATACGCGTGTATAGTTTTTTTTTCTCCCTCTTTCTAGGAAATAGTCTAGGAAGGATGACAGTCTATGCTTAATTGATATTGAATCGAGATGAAAGCAAAGCAAAGAAATAAAAATAAAAATAGTCTAGAAGCGCGTCCTTCCTACGCCTCCATCAGTAAAGGTATTGTTGCTGCTCATGTTCTTGGCACTTTTTTTTTTTTTTTTTTTCCTTTTTTATTTTTATTTTTATTACTTTCTTATTCAAAGATGCTGTTTATTGACAAAATCAATCAAATTGACTGTGTATGTGTGTTGTATGTTGCATACGCTCATGCTTAAGTGTGCATTAGAATGGTAAATAAAAAATAAAAGGAAGATTGCATGGTATGAAAAATACAGGTAGCTTTTCCTTTTCCTGTTTGCAAGAGTAGTCAGCATGAAGATTTCGACACCCGAATTTTGTTTTGAAAAAAATATGTAAGGAGAGGTCAAAGCTTTCTCTTTTTTTCCTTTACTGATCTTTTTATTTCTCGGTAAAGTACACTCAGTAGAAAGCAGCCCCGTATCACTATCAAATGCCAAGACTCCCTTCCCCAGATCAAACCATTGAAAGGTTTTTTTTTTTTAAAAAAAAAAAAAAAAAAAAAAAGAGAGAAAAGAGAGAAAAGGTCCTCGGCTCTACAACGACGCTGCACGACATCGACCTTGCAGAGCATGGTCCTTTGTTATTGCCTTGCTTCATGCGCGCGGTTGAACCTTTGACCACACCTCTGAAAGAAAAAAGACGTGTAGTCTGTACCTTGCAATAGGAAGTGTGTGCATGGAGCGTTTTTTCTTTTATTTATTTTGTTCTTTGCATTCTACGGAGATTGTCGAGCAGAAGACGCCTACTTTATCTTGCTATGGCCACCACAATAACAAGGGAAAAAAAGAAAAGAAAAAAAAAAAAAAAAAAAAAAAAGAGACACCAATGAGAAGTGGTTTGAATGCTGGTGTATACTTTAGCACAGGAATGGCTTTGGATGATAAAAATACTCAAGTGCTCATTGCCCATTGCTTAATTGGCAACCTAGTGTAGTTCATTTTATTTTATTTTCTCTCCATGTTTAATACTCTGTTCATTTAAAAGACATGCTGCATCTTTTTTTCGACCTTATGCAATGACACGCTTTGTTGTAACAAGAATAGAACTCGTCCGAAACGGGAAAAAAAGGCAGATCAAAAGGCGATGTCCAGGGATTGTCATGTCTTCCTACACTTCAATTTTGGCTATGCGCGTCTTCGCCATTGGTTACCACAACCACATCCTGCTGCTCCTTCTTTTTTTCATGTAAGAGATGCTGTTGTTTATAATTGTTTGTCCATTCATTTCTCTGACTATCTCGCTCGACATAATGGCGAGGGTACCCTGCTGAAACACCCGTGCGATGAATAAAGCTGATAGCTCATGACTTTATACAATGTAAAAAATCTATTCTATACTTCAATCGCCTCTCTTTTGTTCATTAAACTTGAATAATATAAAAGGAAAAAAAGGATTACAAGCCCTGTAATGCAATGCATATTGTAAAAAAAAAAAAAAAAAAAAAAAAAAAAAGAAAAACATCTGCATTGCAAGAGATGGATGTTCTAGATTTTACAAGCAAAATAGATGCAAGTTACAATGCAAAATCAAAGAGGCTGGTCAAACGTACCCTCTCTTTCTCGTCAATCTTATACTCAAAAAATAGGCACAAATAATGAATACTTTTTTTAAGGAGGAAGGTGCTATTTTGCCGCTGTTGTTATTGCTGTTGTTGCTCTTGTTGTTATTGAGGAAGGCATAATTTAGTTGGTAGGAAGGACACGCACATCTGCACAACGCCAACAAAAGGGACAGAATAGCGTCCATCAGGTTCAATGTTGCACGATACAATGTAGCGCGACATGATATGGCCACGCGTGTATTTCCTTCGACGTCCTTTACCTTCGCTTTTTTCCCTATATAAGCTCATCCATTTCTTTCTTTTTTTTTTTTTTTTTGTAAAAAAAACCACCACCATTATCAATAAATTTATCTTTCTCTACATCAATCCTCTTCTTTCCCTATTAAAAGTAAGAACAATGTAACATTACTTTTGAGCTGTGTTTTCCCTAGCCGTGTATTACAATGTCCGTTTTTTTTTTTTTTTTTTTTTTTTTTTTTGCTTACCTAACGATTTGAGATGGGAAAACACGATTGAAGTGGAAAAACACGTTTTGGTCAAAGATTAAAAAAAATGCGTAATGACCTCAAACCCGACTCCAAAATTTTGGCACTTCTGTTACCACCGCCGTCATAAACAATTGTACGATTGTAATCTTTCTATTTTAACCTCATCATTACTATTATTGTAATTATGAATCCACAATTGCTCGTGGCCTCACAGGCATTCGATCTTTTTTTTTATTTTTTTCATTTTTGGTAAAAAAAAGGTTCATACCCTATACCTTAATTGGTGGTTATAAAGTTTGACTCCACTCTCGTTTTTTCTCTTTGCAGACAAAAAAACAAACTCTGTTGTGGCTCTCTACTCAAATTTGACCCCCGGGTTTTTTTTTTTTTTTTTGGGGGGGGAATTTTTTATACCCCTTCTATCCATTGTGCTTTGTTCCATTCGTACGGTTCGCGTTCGTTTCGTTTGCATTTGCGCAGATGATGCCCAAAACTTTAAAATATTTATCTCCGTCCTTATGTCTTTTATGGCCTTTCCTTCCCAGGGGGTTGCGTACTGGTATCATCACAATTCAACACCCTCTCCTGCTTTTTTTTTTTTTTTTTTTTTTTTTTGCTCTTCTTCTCCATCCGCGTCAAAGGAAAAAAAAAAAAAAAAAAAAAAAAAAAAGGAAAGGAAAGGAAAGGAAGAACACTTGGGTATCCACTCGCACACTCACACGCACACACAAATAATTGGAGGAATACATGCAAAACATTGTTTGTTTATTCGTTTTTTCAATGCCTTTGGTTACGCATGGATCACCTTTCTTGTCTAACCAAATATGAGAGAAGGAAAAGGGGGGGGGTAAAGATATAAAAACCATCAAAAACCATCCTACAGTTCTTTTTTTTTTTTAATGTCCCCAGTTTCTCAGTCCATGTCTTTCTTTTTTTCCTGCATGTCTATTTTATTTTTTCGCATAGAAAATGTTCAACTACATCCCCCACAATAACAACGGCGACAACAGTAGCGACGACAACAACAACGACAACAACAGCAACAGCAACAACAACAGCAACAACAGCAACAGCAACTATAATAATTTTGGCGAAAACAGCAACGCCGTTCCTCTTTCAGAGGGGATGGCGATGCTGCCACAGGATGGCTCGGCCAGTTTTCCGGGCTTGGCCGTCACTCATTACTTCCTCGACGATGGCACCCCGGTGTTTCTTGGGGGGTATATACTACCTTCTGATCCTTTCCTCAGTTCCCAACAGATTGTAAATATATTCATATTTTGCTTTTTGATCATGGTAACTCGTAATGACTCGCTCTGTTCACGTCTTATTAACCTCTATTTTTGACAAACTTAGTGTCATCATTACGAACCAAGTTATCAGAATTACCTCCTCCCGGTGTCGACGTTGCCTCCTATGGCAGCACCAGCATCAGCACCAGCATCAGCATCAGCACCAGCGCCTCAACAGGTAGTCTGGGCACACCAACAGACCGGCCCTTGGCCATCGCAGCTGTTGGTTACATCTCCAGAAGTTGCGCCAGTGGGCTTTTCAATGCAAGCGGAGTTGGAACAAGTCATCGTCCCGCCATCGCCACCGCCACCCTCACATCAGACACCATACGGGCAGCAACAGCCCTTTTGGAATCCAGCATCGATGTCTGAGGCCTCCAGAATCCAAGAAATCAGCCACGGTCCCCCCCATGATCCATTACCGAACAATGAATTCATGAGGGACCACCCGAGAGCTGAGCATGCGAATCAACAAGGTAAAATAAATCTCTCCACTAACCAATCCAATCAAAAGCATTTAGTTTATTTTTTATTGACACCATTATGCCTGTCTAATAACTTTTCTCTCTCAAGTTCGCTGGCTAGCACTCAACCACTCTGAAACTCGACCTTGCGAAAGTTCGCAGCCGAGGGCAGGAGTCAATACTGGGATATCTCCGTCATTGCTCAGGTTTCCTTTGATGGCACCTTTGAGGCCACCCTTGGTCACAGCCGTAGAGTTTGAATCAAGGACCCCCTCAAACTGCGCTTCTGGACCGCCAGGTGGATCCGCGTCCGCGCAGCATATCGCAATTCATCAAAGCGAAAGAGCAACTACAGATCTCCTAGATAAACCCCCTTCCTCTTCTTCTTCTTCTTCTTATTCTTCTTCTTCATCATCATCCCGCACACCTTCACCCCCCTTATCGGCACCGCTAAGGGAGCTGTACATTAAGCAATATAACAACAGCAGTGACGGTGTCATGCAGGGCAAAAGGCCAAAAAATGCTTTTTTTCTCTATAAAGAGGATCATTCCAAAGAGGTTAAGAAGAACTCGCCAGTCAAGATGTCTGGTGCCGAATTGGTGAGCGAGTTGGCCAGGCTCTGGAATGGGGAACCAGAAAGTACAAGGCGCCAGTATAATGCACTTGCCGAGAGAAATATGGCGGAAAGTCAAGTCTACCCTCCTTACTCTTGCGGAAACAGAAAACGGAGAGAAAAGGAGAAGGAGAAGGAGAGGGAGAAGAAGAAGAAGAAGACGAAGACGAAGACGAAGGGGAAGGCGAAGGCGGCGAAGGGAAAAGAAAAAGATAAAAAAGACTATGATGGCAATAATAACAATGATAATAGTGCGTTTTTGCTGTAGAAAGAAATATAATAAAAAGAAAGATGTAAATGCACATTAACATATTTTTAGGTGTAGAAAATTATAATTTATTTTTTATTTCAAGATCCCTGACCCATGTCCTACAGACAGATATTTATGTACAAACAAAAAAAAAATAAATAAAAAGAGAGGGGACTAAACTTCAAAAACGTCTCTTCCTACTTGCTACAAAAGCTCTTTTTTTTTTTTTTTTTTTTTTTTTTACCAGGCATAGTAGCTCTCCTTCTTGCCACCACCGTTATAGATCAACAAGTTGGGTGTTCTCGAGTTGACATCCTCCAAAACATCTCTAGTAGCAGTCCTCTTCAAAAGGGCCTTCATTTCCTTTGGCGAAATAGGTCCGGAGTTGAATGCAGAGTCATTGCTGGGTGCCAATGACAGATAGTATGCGATCAAACCAGCTACATGGGGGGATGCCATGGATGTTCCTGAGATAGTCCTCTTCGTATTCGTGCCTCCGATCCAGGTCGACTCAATGTCAAGTCCAGGACCAAAGATATCAACACAAGGTCCATAGTTGGAGAAATAGGCTCTTTCGTCCCTCACAGTCGAAGCGCCTACTGTCACAGCAGCCTCCACACCAGCAGGTGAGTAATTACAAGCATCCCTGTTATCGTTTCCAGCGGCCACTGCAAAGTGGAGGCCCCTTGCGACCGCACTCGACACCGCAGAATCCAATGGGCGAGATTTACCTCCACCAAGAGACATATTAGCGACTGAGCCCTTATACTTTGAACCACCAGCGGTCTTGAGTGCCGAGTGTTTTTGAACAGCAAAATCAACTCCGGCAACAACATCCGACATAGTACCCGAACCATTAGAACGCAAGACCTTCACTGCGACGACCTTGGCCTTCTTTGCAACGCCATATGCAGCACTTCCAATCGTACCAGCACAATGGGTTCCATGACCGTTACCATCGATATCGGCATCACCCATAGGGATAGTGGCTCCCCAGCTAGCACGGCCTTCGAACTCCTTATGTTTCGTATTAATACCTGTGTCAATCACAAAGACTGTGATTCCATCGCCACCTTCAGGGTTGTGTTCATACTTTTTGTAGGTCTTCAAGGTCAACTTCTTGCGATGCGAGATACGGGCTAGACCCCAGGGTGCGTTCTTCTGAGTTTCTGTGGCATAAACAACTTGGTCACGCTCGATGTAATCGACCTGGAAGAAAAGGAAAAAAAAAAAAAAAAAAAAAAAAAAAAAAAAAAGAAAGTACGGAACATGTGTTATGACATGATATGTGAATGATACCCGCGTTTAGATATATAAAAAAAAATAAAATAAAAAATAAAAAGGGACACCTTGTGATGCAAGAACACTAAATGGTAATTTAACAATTACACCCAATGACACGCTCTCATAAATAAAAAAGGTTTGGTCACGGGCGCAGCAAGTCTAAAATGAACTAAAAGAAAGAAAAGGGAGGGGGGCACCATTCACATTCATTACGCGGGTTCCTTTTATCTATTGACCCATGCCTATGGCCCCCTTCTTTATCTTTTCCTCCCTCTCTCTTCCTCTATTGGATACAAATAGGAATGAAAGATAGTAAAAGTGAAGAGGAAGAGGGCAAATCTTGCGCAATCCACTAAACTAGGCGAGAGGGGGAAACCCACCATGATAATTTCTGCATTGTCATCCAGAAATGGTGTGCATTTGCCCAAGAATTGCACGAGTTACACTGAATGTGATACAAAAAGAAAATGACAGGATGAAGACCTGAATACAAACAGGGTTCAAACAGACTTTGAAAGAATGCAAGTTGAAGTATCTACACCAACCACTCCTTCCATCATTCCCGCTTTTCAGCATCGAAACTATCCACAGCAGTTCCCAGAGAAGGATATTAAAAAGTAAAAACAAAAATATAACTTACATCACGGTGTCTACGAACGTATTCAATGACTTCAGGGCGGAATCGGCCTGCAATGCCTTGGAAAGAATCCATATTGTAGATATGTCGGACACCGCTTTCGAGACTTCCATCAAATGAATTCTCCCAAGCTCCATTCAGTGCTACATCGCGGCGATGGAGGTCTTGAATCCATGTCGCTTGCTCGTTGAGGTTGCGAACACCATCCTTGAAGACTACAATGTATGAATCTGGAACAACTTCAGCTTCAATCGAAGAGACAACAGGAGCCATACGCTCAGAGTAGAGGAAGGATGGGAAGGCAACAACTGCGGAGGAGGCAGTCAAGGCGATCGCGGCAACTGTGGAGAGTCTGAACAACATGATGACTGGCAATAAACGATGATTGTTGCTTGAAAAGATGAGGGGAAAATGTAATATAAAAAAAAACTTTTTTTTATTTTTTATTTTTTATTTTATTTTATTTTTTTGGGTCAAGGATTGGCTTTGTTGGGGGTATGAACAAGTTAAGATGAAGAAAGAGAAAGAAGAGAGCGTGTGGTTGAAGAAAAAAAAAAAAAAAAAAAAAAAGAAAGAGGGCTACTGTCCAAAGACCAGGATGCCTGAAATACCTTCTGCATGCAAGGCGTGACCTGTACCGCATCGGAAGTATATATAGTACGTATGCCTCGTTACACACTCACCACGGAATTAAAGAAATTTAGACTGTTTCTGCACAGCTTGCCAGTAGTTTCACAAAACATTGTCTACGGTACCATGTCCGTATGTGTGTGTCACCTTTCTTCATTGAAAATCCGACGAGAAATAAAGAAAAATAAACTAAATAAAAAGATCCCTCTGCCCTGCAACTCTGATCTACATCTTTCTTCTCGTCGCTCCTGGAACTCATCCGTTGCAGACTATTATCTATTCGTTCCAATGAGCGACAATTCTACCGACAACACTCATAATGCACTCCTTCATGAAATCAACACTCTTCGTCAGCAGGTGGCTGCCCTTACGCAGGCCAACCCTTCCTCCTCTTCCCCTTCCCCCATCACCATTGATCGCCCACAGGCCAAGATACTTGTCCTCTCTGATACCCTCAAAGCGGCTGTACCTTCCCTTGACGGCTCTCATTTCTTCCGTCCCCCGGACAACTCTGGCGACGATAACATCCTCACCGAGTACGTCCTCTATCCCAAGAACCCAGATCAGCAGTACAAAGCGCCCTCTCTTGAGTTGCCTTGGCCTCAGGAGACCACTTCTTTTCAACGAGTGGACAAGTGGTTATCCCAACTACAGGAACGTCAGGCCCACGCTACGCGACCCTTGGACGAATTCCTGGCAGAATACTTTCACAAAGTGCACGATCCTGCATTACGGCAGATCGTCGCAGATTTTGGGCATGTCATGCGATCTCATCTGGCCGTTACAGCACGCCAAATCACCGATCTGCGCATGGATAATTTTGTGTACGCAAAGGGTCTCAAGCCAGCCCCTGATCATGAAAAGACTGCAACTATCACTAAAGATGATATTGCAGCCCGAATTAAAGCTGCTGAGGAGTACCAGGAGGCCAGCAAGCCTCGCAAGACAGCTTTGCAAAACAGAGGATCCGGTCGCAATTCCGGTTCTCGCAGCAGGGGTATTTACTTTAACATGTACCCCCACCAGCAGCAACAGTTCCAGCAATTTCCATCACAATCGCAACCTTATTCACCAGCAAATCATCATCAAGCACAACAAGCCACACCTCCTCAGCTCACTTACGGGTATGGAGAGCCCATGCATAACAACCAGCAGGGACAGTATTTTTACAGAGGCAGCCGTGGACGGGGACGCGGCAGCGCCAACAAGAGCCAGTAGGGGGCCGTCTGCACCTCTACTCGAGGGCTTGGAGGCTCCTCACGGACGACAGGTGGGTCCGCTCCGTGATTGGAAACGGTTTTCAGATTCCCTTCCACAGACAACCTCCAATAACACACACATCAAGAGCCCTTTCCCCGCATCTATCCAAGGAGGAGACACTGGCGATAGAGAACGAAGTGATCGCACTTCTGGCCAAAAAAGCCATAGAGCACGCTTCGGGACCTGGTTTCCAGAGTCGTTTGTTTACTATCCCCAAGAAGACAGGGGACCTCCGGCCTGTCCTCAACCTACGTCCTCTCAATCAATTTATCATCACAGACTCGTTCAAGATGGAGACGATTCAGGTAGTATGCAATACCCTTCAGAAGAACGATTATTTGACGAGCATCGATCTCAAAGATGCTTTCCTTCATGTGCTGATTCATCCACATTTTCGTCCTTACCTTCAGTTTCAGTGGAAGGGTCAGCTGTATCAGTTTCGCACTCTACCTTTCGGGATGTCACTGTCGCCGTTAGTCTTCACGAAGGTCCTACGCCCGGTGTTGAGATGGGCGAGGCGTCGAGGAATACGGCTGACAGCTTACATCGACGATCTGTTGATCATGGCCAACTCCAAAGCCCAAGCAGATGAGCACACGAATCTTGTCCTGGACAAACTCAAGTCTCTTGGATTCCTCATCAACAAGGAGAAATCCTCTCTGATGCCAACGAAATGTCTAGATCATCTGGGTTTCACCATCAACACCACCGACATGACCCTCTCGGTACCGAAGTCCAAGGTCAGGGACATACGGCGAGAAGCAGCGAAGATGCTCAGCAAGGGATGGACGACGGTTCGCAACTTGGCTACGTTCATAGGGAAAGCCATGGCGACGACAGCAGCAGTATTTCCAGCTCGTCTAATGACGCGGCATCTTCTGGCATTGAAGAACAGAGCGCTCAGCCATCAGGGGTCATCTTGGGAAGCGACGATCTCACTGGACGACAGAGCTCGAGCCGATCTGGATTGGTGGACACACCAACTCAAGGAGTGGAACGGGACGTCATGGATTCAGTCGCCAACTCAGATGGACGTGTACACAGACGCCTCCGACCAAGGCTGGGGGATCGTCATAGGGCAGCGCACTTGGACAGGGCTATGGCCACCAAACATACGCCACCAACACATCAATTTAAAAGAGTTACTAACCGTGTACTACGCAGTCACTCTACCGCAAACACAAGGGAGGATGCTCAACCTAGTAATCGACAACACAACCACCATCGCTTACATCAACCGGTTCGGCGGAACTCGTTCACAACCTCTGATGGACCTGGCGGACAAAATATGGAAGCATTGTCTAGCAACAGGCACAAGACTCAGGACCACATATGTACCTTCAGTATTCAATCCAGCAGATGCACCATCACGCCGGATGCAAGCGCAGCTCGAATGGAGGCTGGACCCGTCATTTTTCCGTCGTCTAGACCAGCAGTGGGGGCCTCATCGGATAGACCTCTTTGCATCGCCCAGCAACAACCAGCTTCCTCAGTTCATGACATGGAAACCTCATCCTTTGGCAGTGGACTTCGATGCGCTGAGACACAAGTGGAGCCACTTGGGCAACCTTTACATCTGTCCTCCATGGAACTTACTTCCAAGGATCCTGCAGAAGCTAGACCAGGAAGGCCTGGAAGCGACCATAATTACTCCATTTTGGCCATCGGCGATTTGGTTCCCGAAGATACAGGCAATGGCGACCCAACCCCCTTTACCGATTCCACGAACATGTGTTCTCCCTCCACCAGGAAGCGACGCGCACATCCTGCTCAAGAATCCACACTGGGGCCTTACCGCGTGGAGAGTAAGAGGACGAGGATGCTCATAGATGGCCTCTCGCCAGCGGTGACTGAGTTTATCTGTGCTCACAAAGGATCCAAGAGCACCAAGCGAGAGTACGAAAAGCATCAAGCTGAATTCGTCACTTGGCTGAAAGAGGGCTCGTTCGAACAAGGGATTAACCCCGCGATCCCAGTAGTGAACTGGCTACACTACGTGCGGGTCGCTCGCAATTTGAAGTGGTCCACGCTGATGACCATGAAGTCGGCTGTCCTCGCCCTATTTCGTGACCCAGAGAGAGTACGATCAGATGAATACTACCGCCAGTTCCTCAAGGCTGGAAAGCAAGAAGGTGTCGTTGAGTCCAGGTCTGGTCACTTTGACATCACACCTGTTTTGGACCATTTTCGGCAGTCATCAGCAAATATGGAGTTGCCTTTTGAGGAGCTTACATGGAAGCTGTGTTGGCTCTTAGGCGTCTGTGGCTTCATGAGACCAGACGACATCAGATGTGTAGATGTCAGTCTCTCCAAGATTGTGTTAGGGAAGCTTCAGCTTGTTGTTGTTTTCCCAAAAGAGAAGAGTGATGGGCAACGTATCATTAAGCATGTGACCATTGGTTCTCACTTTGACAAGAAGCTATGCCCTGTCGACGCATACACCGCTTACCTGGACAGGCTGTCTTGTCCTTCCACTACCTCTCCTCATCCGAAGGACCCAACAAGAAGCATTGTACCTTTGATTAGATTTGTGAAAGACCACACCCAGCCGGCGCGTGCGACTACTATTGGCTCCCACATGAGTAGGATTTCTTCGCTGATGGATTTAGGAGACAAGAAAGCTCCTAAGCTCCGAGCCTTAGGTTCTACGCTCGCGGCTATAGCAGGCGTACCAGTGGCTGATATCATGGTGCAGGGGAATTGGTCGTCCCCGAAAGTCTTCGAGAAGCACTACCGTTTGTCGAGTGCCACCTCCAACAACATGTCCATGAGCACTCTAGGCTAGATTTTCTTTAGTTAGTTGTTCATTTCGTTCAGTTTTCTTTTAGTTTTAGTTTTGTTTTAGTTTAGTTCTCTTTGGCGATCCCTCTGGAGCCACATACGGACATGGTACCGTAGACAATGGTCTACTGAATGGTCTACGAAGGACGACCTATTCACATTGTCATAGGTACCATGGACGTATGTCCCACCCACACCACCCCTTTTTGGCTCGAGAAGTAGATGTAGATCAGAGTTGCAGGGCAGAGGGATCTTTTTATTTAGTTTATTTTTCTTTATTTCTCGTCGGATTTTCAATGAAGAAAGGTGACACACACATACGTCCATGGTACCTATGACAATGTGAATAGGTCGTCCTTCGTAGACCATTCAGTAGACCATTATTAACCAGGCACGCAAGAAGTCTGCAGAGAGAACCATATTGCATGGAATTAATTACGCGAAGATGAGAAGCTTCTTAATCTTTATTTATTTTCCACTTCTACTGGTTCCCTTTACTTAAAAAACCTCCATTACTGGATTATGTTGTGTTATATTGTGCCTCGTTATATTGTTGCCAATTCAGATTGAAGTTTGATGCAGCGGTATTGCTTTAATACTATGGTGACTATGACAAACTATCTAAATGATACTATTTGTAACTAATAGGATAATTAAAAAATGCTTTGAAAAAGAATGCTGGGTAAATTATAGATATAATTGATGTTTGTTTGTTTTTTTTTTTTTTTTTTTTTTAAGCCATCTCAACTGTCATCTCGACTTGAGGCTTCTGGTTTGCATTAGTCTTGAGCTCCTTATGCTGGATAAAGCAGGCCATGACGAAAGCCAACACACAGAATGCAATACAACAATAATAGACATAGTGAAGAGCACTAATAAAGCTTTCAAAGATGAGATCAATCTTGTCATTGGTGTAAGTGTAAATTTGGCTGTAGTCCAGAGTCACTCTCAAGACCGTCTTGTCACCATTGAATGCGTTCAATAACTTCTCATGCAACTTGTTGTTAAAGACGGAACCCACAATGGCTACACCGAAAACTTGGCCCAATGTACGCATAAACTGGATACAGGTCGTCACTGTAGCCATGTATTTGGGCTTCACAGCTGCTTGGACAGCCAAGGTGCATGCCTGCATACTCAAACCCATACCCATACCGCAAATGAACAAGATAAAGACGTGAGCAACACGAGGCGTGTCCTTCTCAAAGAGAAGGCAGAGTGCTGAACCAGCAAGGAAGATAATGCCGCCAACAGCTGGGAAAAAGGCGTATGTGCCTCGCTTGAGGACCCAGATACCAGATGAAATGGAAGTGAGGACAATACCAATGGCGAATGGGACAGTTTCAAGTCCTCCGACCGTCGCAGACTCATTCTTGACAACTTGGAAATACACAGGTAAGTAGAAAAGAATACCAAAGAACGACATGCCGCTGAAGAAGACAGAGCTGTAGGTCGACCAAAGGTTTCGGAGCTTGAACAAATGAATGGGTACAATGGGCTCCTTTGGAACTTTCCATTCAACGATGATGAAAATACCCGCGACAACAAATCCAGCGACAAGCATCCCAATGATGATGCCAGAGCTCCATTCATACTCGTTACCGCCCCAGCTGAGTGGCAAAAGAATCAAGATAACAGCACCCATCAACAGGAGTGATCCGTAATAATCGATGCGAGTAAGTTTATCTGTGAAACTACCGGGAGGCGTAGGCAGATCCAAGTTGAAGAAAATAAAGAGAATGGAGATGGCACCGACGGGCAAGTTGATCCAGAATGACCAGCGCCAAGTCAAATGATCTGTAAATGCGCCTCCCATTAATGGACCAATGACGGATGAGAATGAGAAGATTCCACCAATGAATCCAATGTATTTACCACGCTCACGCATATCCAACATATCAGAAAGAATGACAAAGACCATGGCCATCAATCCACCAGCACCGATTCCTGAAATACCGCGACCAATAATCAACATTGCCATTGATGTAGCCCATCCTGAAATCGCAGATCCGACCAAGAAGACAATGTTTGCAAAGAGCATAGTTGTCTTGCGGCCAAAGATATCAGAAAACTTGCCGTATCTGTCATCATGACAAGGCGAGGAATGAAATAAACATCATGTTAGAACAAGATAATGTAATATAGCATATAGTAAAAGAGCAAACAGTAAAAAATAAAATAAAATAGTGCTTACAATGGTTGGAAGGCAGTAGAAGTCATCATATAAGCAGTACCGAGCCATGAAATATCATTGAGAGAGTTATATTCACGGGTAATTGCAGGAATGGATGTCGAAACAATGATTTGATCCAGACTTGCAAGGAAGACACACAGTGATAATCTAAAAATGAATGTAAAAGTAATTTATAATTTAGTACTTTTGAGCAAATGAGGAGAGGGTATCCATTCCAATGGTAATTTACCCGAGCTCACTTTATCCACATGGGCGTTTAGCAGGAAAAAAAACAATAACAGCAACAACAACAACAACAACAACAACAACAACAACAACAACAACAAATAGACAAACATACGCAATCAAGATCAAGACGAACTGCCTCGTGGGAGGCTTGTGATACAGTTGCACTGGCGCAGAGCCAGGGGTTGCTTCAGAAGTAGCGATGGAAGAGATGTCTTCACTTTGGTCATAGGCATCCTTCTTTTCATTGACAGGCATGGTTACGGATGTGGAAGCGGACGCAGGAACCTGCTCGTCCACCTCCTGTTTGTAGTCAAGCTTGGAGGTCATTAATGTTAGTGTGTAGATACTTTGCTATCTCTGCCGATAGAGATCTAGGTGACGATGTCAAATGTGTTAAAAGTATGGACAGAGAAATTAAAAGATTGTGTGTGAAATTATGGAGAGAAATAAAGAATTGGTAGAGCGAAAAAGAATTATTGGGGAAAGGAAGGCAGGAACTAGAGTCGTCGAGGGGTGAAGAGAGTGAGATGATGAGATTGATGAGGTTGAGGAGTGAGAGGTTCTGTGGCTATTATTTATACTTGCGATGCAGTCGATGGACAAAGGATGAATTTACGCTTTCTCTTTATCGCCAAAGTAAAAAAAAAAAAAAAAAAAAAAAACCATTAATGCTCGCCCGCAGTATACATGTACAAAGGTACAGATCTGTGGCGTTCTTTGTTTTCTTTACTTCACAAATACACATTGCTTGGCCTCCGCTCCCTGCTCTCACCCACTCACTAACTCAAAAAATCTATGTTAGAGAAGTACTTTAAGCGATTTAGAGTTGTCATGGCCAAAAAAGTCATTTTTTGTTATGGGACATAAAAAACAAGCGCAGATGCTGTATACATACATCATCCAACATAAAAACAAGCGCAGAAGGTGTACGCCTCATCAAATCAATTGTCTTTTCGATCACCCGTCAATTGTCTGCGCAATGTTTATTGTAACAAAGCTTTCTTTTACAAAAAATAAATAAGTAAATCAAAATTTCTATAGTGTTGCCACTTGAGGTGGGTAATAAGATGTGCCTGTCAATGGCGATCCGAAGTTCCAGGGCGAAGTCAAAGTCAAGTAAACATTAGCCGTGGAGAAACTGCTGATCCTTCATACCAAAAAAGAGCAAGGTGAGTTTGAATTGCGAAGCGTCCATTGAGTTGTTACAGTGAGCTCAGTTTATGGTATCAATCATTTTATCGGCAATACCATTCTACCCAATGTTTAACACCCCTACCTCCCCATCTTTCCTCTCCTTTTTGATTTGCCAAGCTTCCTTTACGACACTTTTTTTTTTTTTTTTTTTTTCTTCTTCGCCCCCTCTCATCATCCTTAACGAAGTCAATCCGAAAAAGGATATTTGGGTTAGTTCGTGTGAAACGCAAAAGCGCTGTTGTCACACCGGGATTTAATTATGCCGAAAAAGGGTACATTACATGAACCATATTCAATCAATTCATTTTTCAGAACTCTTTTCTACTTTATGTTTTAACTCTGGCAAATAAGCAAGCACTGTGCACTACCCATCTTAATTCTTTGAAACATGAATGGCTGCGGAGACAAAAAAAAAATAAGAATAAAAATAAAACTACACGTCAACTTGCCTTTGATATCCCTACGAACAGTAGATGCCATGTTTAGATCGACTTTTACAGCTTTACGCAGAAAACCACTTCTCCTCTCTCTATCTCTTTTTTTTTTAATCATCAACCCTGAAAGTCCTTTTCAAAAGAAGTGAATGAAGATGCTTCCTTCCTTTCTCTTCTATTAAGTAATATCGAATTTTAACTATGAAAAAGGATTTAATTCTATGCACCATCCATGCTCAGTCACTCCAATGAATAAACAAAAACAAACAAAAAAAAAGGGGTTTCCATTTAACCGATTTTTTTTTTTTTTATTTCTAATGCCATGCTCTAGAACATCGTCACCATTGGCTTTTAAAAAATAAAGCCTACAAGCCTACATACAATATACGTGTTCCACAACCCACACAAAAGTGAAGTAAAAAAAAAAAAATCTCCGCCCTTTTGGACCTATTCGCTCTTTGGAATTTTCTTTCCATGACAGATCAACTATATAAACATGTATATATCGCCAATTTCATTTGGTCATGATACCTTATATTTTTAATCTAAAAACGATGATTGAATTGTTCTGGTGGCATTTCACTACGTGACGGACTTGCAACAATACTCGTAACAAGCGAGCCAATTGGCTGCCAATACACTCGAAAGTATTCAAAAAATATAAGGTATCATGACCAAATGAAACGGGCTATACATATAATAGTAGTCATTGTAGCAGATTCATTGACTTTATCAGATCAGACAAGTGGCTAATTGCACTAATTGTAATAACCCATTGGTGATTCAAATTCAATTAATCTACGAGTCTTGGCATCCGTCTTCTACCCAAATAAACAGACATCTTGTCAATTTTTTTTTTACGCTTAGCTTGAAGGTCTACTAGTATGGGTTTTTTCCCCCTGATATAGCTCCCTTCTTCTCCTTCCCCCCCAAAAAAAAAAAAAAAAAAAAAAAAACGCGGAAAGAAATTGACATTTGATTCACATACATGAACTAGGTAAGGAGAAGTACTTTTGATATGGATCTTTTTTTTTTACTTATTTATCGTTATTGCAAGGAAAAGTGAACAGTTCAAATTGGATAAAACAACGATCTGGTTCCTTTTCCTAAAAAATAGAAAGATTATGCTATAATACAATATGTTCTGCAAAAGTAAAAAGGTTGAATAGATTCAATAATATACTGATTCATAAGGATGAGACTTGTTGGACTTGTCCATTTGTTATTGTGTGGAAGTCCCCACTTTACCTCTTAATCGTCGCTGGAAAGCTCATTGTCGATAAGGTAAAGAATTCAGAGAAGAGGGTTCAGAAGGGACGAAGACATCTTTTTTTTTTTTTTTTTTTTTTTTTTTTTTTCGGTATACTTTAGTGATTAGCCGCGCTCATCGGACGCGTCAGGCACCCCTTCCCCCCTCGGAGAACTATACATGTGCATCGTAGGAGTCAATAGCAGAGTTTGGACCTGACCCAGCTGCTACAAATACCGAATGTTCTCGAGGATAATTAGGTACTAGAGTTGGTTCATGTGGCTCAATCTTAATCTCTTTAGGCTTTAAAAGACTTGAGATTCCCTTCGGAAGGTGATCACTCATATTGGTTATTCTTTCGTTCATTTCCTCTTTCACCACAGTCAATTCAGCTTTCAATTGTCGATTTTCGCCGATCAGCGCCAACATCTGTTCATTTTGCTGAGTTAGTTTCGAAATATGTTGCTGCATCAACGTCATTTGCTGGCTTTGCTGAAGTGTTATTGCCAAGAGTTGATCCTTTACAGTTACAATTTGGTCCTTTACAGCCTCAAGTTGTGTTTTTACTGTCTTTCTCAATCTGCTGTATAGATTTATTATGTCTTGTGATGCTTCGACTTGGTCCTTTGCTTGGTCTTTCATAAGTGCTTTGAGTTCTTGAGAATATGCTTCATTCAATTCTTGGGTCTTTTGTAAAATAGTGTCTACAATTTCTTGACTACTAAAGGTACGTTGAGCGGCGCCGAAAGGACGAGTGGATGTAAAAGGAAGAGGATCGTTGGAAGCAGTTATGATGTTGTTGGAAGAGTCGATGGGGTCATGTGGAAGATTCAACCCAGCAAATCGGACTGGAATTGGATCAACGACAAAAACAGAAGATCCTTCTTCCTTTCCTCCATTGTCCTTCTTTATCTCCATTCCTTTCTTTACTTCCCTGCCTTTCTCTGTTTCCTTTCTTGTCTCCTGTCCCTCTCCTGCCTCCTGTCCCTTTCCTGCCTCCTGTCCCTTTCCTGCCTCCTGTCCCTTTCTTGCTTCCGTCTCCGTCTCCGTCTCCATCTCCGTCTCCTTCTTTTCAAGCGCAGACGATGCTTGAAGACATATATCGCATGCGCCAAAGTGCCTACTCAAAGACGTTCTCAGCTTTATCCTTACACCGCAGGGAGCCACAAACATCATGTCGTGTTCAGGTTCTCTGTAGAATGTCAACTGCCTTCCCCTAGTTGGATGAACGACCGTTGCCGGCTCAGAGTTATGATACTCCCTGATGTGAGCCACCATGGCGTCCGTCACCTTCTTACCATCCGGGAACTCCACTGTCTGGGGAGTGGCCCTAAAAACCGTGAGGTCCATCAATGTCAATTCAGGAAAACCCCTCAAGACCTCTGACAGCGTTTTACCATGAAGCTCCTCCCATGTCCTTCCACACACTTCGAATCTGCAGATTAGTTTTTTCTTTGGTAGGTCTACTTGTTCGAGTTTGCGTTTAGTGGCCATGCCTTGAAAGTTGAATGATGATAATCGGTATGTTTTTTTTTTTTTTTTTGTAATTAAAAAGCGGGCGCGTAATAAAAGCGTGAGAAGAAAAAAAAATAAAAAATAAAAATAAAAAAGAGGAGAATGAGCTCAGGCTGTGTAAAGGACGTGTGAAGGATTCAAGGTGGTATGTTGGGAGCTGTAAACAACAATGCTGCACTAATGTTCATCCGTCTCTCATGTAAAACTCATAAAATGATGATTGCTGTGCCATTCTTTATTTAACACCTTCCGAATTTCGCCGTCACTCGCGCTTAGTCGGCCTGCACCGCCACCCGTTTTTGAGTTTAGGCGGAGTAACTTAAAATTTGTAACCTAAAAGAGAGTCGGACATGAATGATGACACCAGTTCACCAGTTTCGATTGTTTATTTCTGGATGGTGGATATTCGATGATTACTCGTGAGTTTTATGCTATTGATGCGTGACATCTGCTAGTGGCGCTACAGAGCCATACCAAGAAGCTGTCGAATACAGACGCATTAGTACTCGGTAGCCTGGTTATCAAACAAGAGCAAAAAAAAAGAGGTTGGTGCTCAGCCAGTTTACTACAATATTTACAATAGAGGTACTTGGCCTATCGAAATAGTGCAGTGCAAATATTGTAGAAGCGAACGAGATCCGTAACAGCATATTGGTAAGCGAATACATAGGTTGCATTGATTTCTTTTCTACGACAGGATTGAAACACGTACATTTTGTGGCCAAAGGGCTGCCACACCGGCTTACGCGAGCGTGAGGAAAAAAAGACAAAAAAAAAAAAAGGTTCAGTGCAAGACGCATCTTGCATGATGTCGGACAAAGTCTAAACAATTGCCTTCGGTAACAAGCATTTTACTCACAGCAATATCAACATGAGCATGGATATGAGCATGAACATGTAGAGCATATGAAATGTCGCAATGTATTGATTGCTTAAAAATCCCTTTCTGCTTGCTATCTTTTTTTTTTTTTTTTTTTTTTTTAGTAGAAAAACTAGATTATTTCTATCTGCATCCTGTGCGGCACCGTGTCTGTTGAAGAATGAACTTGAATCCCCTCAAGGAGCGAGAAAAAGTTCAGCAACGCGGTATGACCTCCAGCTAAAACTCCTATGGGCAGTAAGGCACCATTTGAACTAGCTATAGACTCTCTATTGCATCCCAGTTATTCCTTCTTCAACCAACAGGACGTTACCTGTTTAATGAATGTGATCGATCAATTCCAGGGAATAGAAATAATGCAAGCCCTAAAATCAAAATTCAAATTTATTGGATGGGAGATCGATTGTTGGGAGCGCAACTGTTTTTTGCAACAACCTCCTTTTTTGATCAGCATATTTTACCTAGCAGACTTTTAACCAACCTTTTTTTACCCTTCCCAAACCCCGGCTCCAATTCTTCTCTCCTTTGCTCTCTTCCTTCCATCTTTCTGACTTTTACTTTTCTCCTATTCCCTCGCTTTTGATTTCAAGTTTTAGAGTTCTGTTTTTCTTTCATCAGCCATTTTCCTTACTTAAATAACCCCCCCCCCCCATTTATGGCTAGTAGCTTCAATGATGAATTGGCGAGACTAGGAACGCGTCGATTGCCGAGCGATGAATCTATTCCTGAAGGCCCTTCCTATGTCCATAATGCCTCTACTGCAAGCAATATTTCTATTACAACTACTTGTAAGCATCCTTCTTCTGGCAACACATAACCACTGCGCACAATCGTGCCTGCTGTCCAGTCTTCGCCTATTCAGGATTATCACCTGTACACTCCTCGAAGGCCCACTGTTACCTCTACAGCGACAACTAGTAGCAGCGACAACAGTCTCACCATGAAATTAAAGAGCATCCTATCTCCCATTAATGCCAGCATCGAGTGCAAACAAATTATCTTCACATTCCTCATCTAATAATGCAGCTCCACGGTATATTCCATCCCGATCTAATACAATGGAAACAATTTTACTCATGAGCGACAGCAACCCTTCAACGGTTGCTCATAATTCTGCACGTCCCACCGCTGCACAGCACTCATCAGCGAGGCATTCACAAATGATGATAGCGGATGGCGATCGGAATGGTTTCAATCACGCCTACGACACATTGTGGCGGCTGAAAATATGTCATATCATATTCCAGGTTATCGTGAGGCGTACAATTATTTCCCCAGGGAAATCTACTTCGCAGCAACTGAAGAAAAGAAAGAAGCTTATCAAAAAAAAAAGAAAAAAAAAAAATTAGATGCTGTCCTTGGTATGGAAATAGGAAATAAAATCATCACTAATGTCGGTATACGTGTAAAGGAATTGCAGAACCAGCTGTGGGAGCAGCAGGCGAAACAAGAGGCCCACATGCAAGAACTGCAGGCGAAGCACGAAGCCCATATACAGGAGATACAGGCGAAGCAAGAAATACACATGCAGGAGCTCAAGCAACTGTTACTTCAGAAAACTAGACAGTAACGACGATAGTTGCACTAGCTTTAAAGCATTAAAATAAAAGTACATGTAAAAAGATGTTTACATGGCCCCGCTCACGTCTTGCTTGCACTACCAGGATTTATTTCAGTCTTTGTAAAAGTCTGCCTTTAATTTTTTTAATTGGTGAGCTTCCTCTATATATAAACTTGGAAGCATTGCAGTCGCATAAATACGTTGATGAGTTTCTAGCCATTGTTGCCACTGGATTGTAGCTAGCTGAATGTCACAATCAAAAAGCTACATTGACCTACAGCAGTGAAACTTTTTTTTTGTTGGATGCCAATAAGCTCAACAGGAGCTCCTGCGCTTCTCATCAACACAGGGTTGTCTTCAGTAAAGGTGTCAATGGACGGCACATTGTAAACTGTTGTTTCTTCCTTCGAGAACCAAGTGCTTACTACGTGCTACAATATCAATGTACAAAAGATGACGCTAGATATAACGGTCCGTTCAGTGTTAATCGAGACTATACCAAAAATCGTGATAAAGCTGATTTTAAGCATGAATGGCCGCTGTTAAAGTGAGCAACAAATGGAACTTCCTATCTTTGATTTAAAATAGCTCTTAAAAGAATCTATTCAGGATCCATAGAACAATACTGTATAAATTATTATAACCACGGAAAAAGCAAAATCATGTCATTTTTGATGACTGTATGAGTTATTGCGCCAGAATCTTGAGAAGCAGAGCCTAACCAAACCAGAGATCACTCGCCTAGGCTATCGCTACGATATGGATCCCATTTTCAATTCTTTATGCAGTACTTCTTGAGAAAATGAGCTTTGAATATCCGATAGTTGCTATTTTTCGCGACCTAGCCGGCTTTCCCTAAAGGAGACCTTTTTTTTCTTGCAATGTAACTAGCACATATTTACCACGACTGGATTCAAATTTAAAAAAATACATATTTCCTGAGGGCTTGGCGTGTTTCAAGTATATCAATATCGGCATCGACATGTCCATAAAAGGACCCCTGTGCAAATAACGTGGGGAGAAAAAGATAGGATTAATCTATTTGGCAGCCCATACCAAATATAGTAATTTTTGCCTCTATTTGGCAGCCTACTTCTGGGGGCTGCCACTTAACTTCGCACTCTTGGGTGGCAGCTGGGCTGCCAAATACATTACTTTTTTTTTTTTTTTTTTTTTTTTTTTTTTGATAAACAGGGTCATAACATCAGTGGTAAAACAAGCAGCGTTCTGTGGATACATTGCCTTGCACAGCTAATGCCGCCGGAGGTACTAAGGGCAGCGGCGATGACATCTTCACAAAACAGCCTTCAATGTACACGGTTAGGGAATGGTTTATTGAAGACGTCTAGGTAGTAGGTGAGACACGTTTGCTCCGAGCGAAAACCTCTCATAGGCATTGATCTCCAAATGGCACCTCCAAAACTGTATGAGCGACCTACTTGAAGACAATGTCACTACACATAACTATGACGTAGAAGACGGGAGCTCTATTAATTTGAAGTATGAGCGTTATAAACATATACGGTTCCTAGGAATGAAAAAAAAAAAAAAAAAAAAAAAAAATAAATAAATAAATAGTTAGAGGCCAAATAGCCCTGGGTAGGCTGCCAAGTAAATAATGAATGTTATTTGGCAACTGGGCTGCCAAAGAGAGTCTTGAAAGTTGATTATATTTGGCAATGGGCTGCCAAATAATATTTAGCAACTAGGCTGCCAAATAGATTAATCCAAAAAGATATTTGCACGGGGGCCGTACAAATAACTTCAGCCATAACGTGGTATTAAAAGCAAAATGTGGAGCAGCTGGTAGTCGAAACCAGTGCCTCTCCCATGCGAAGGGAGCGCTCTACCAAATGAGCTACAGCCCCATTGAAATGAACCTTATTCTCAATTAATTATTGAAGTTTGACTATAAATAGCCATTTAGAGTTAAGGTCTGCTGACCCAATATGGCACGTGATCTTCACTGATGAAGTCATAGAAAGTTGCTTAAAATTGTGGATATGATACCGCTTGATTTGATTGATTTGATTTGATTTGATTGATTCTCTTTTATGCTCCTAGTTTCCTTTTTAAAAGAATCTCGCTTGCGGACCGTATCCTTCCAAAAGATTGCTGATTCCATTGATGAACTGATGCACTGCTTTCCAATCCTGCCTTGTAAACTTATTATTATCATTAATCAAAGGTATTAGGCATTATCAGTCATAGTAAGATATGAAAGGGAGTAAAGCATTATCGAAAGAGGTGAAAAAAAAAAAAAAAAAAAAAAAAAAAAAAAAAGAATAGTAGTAATAATAATAATAATAATAATAATAATAATAATACTTACGTTCACGTTCTGTGTCATCTAATCGACTCAAGTATTCAGTCGAGTTGTTGTTTCCACCTGATTGCGTATGATCCATAGTTAATTGTAACCGTACCTTGAAAGCCTAAAAAAAAGTTAAAGTGGCGATGAATCCTTGATTGCTTTCCATGATGGAATTTTAGATCAGCAGTGATAGTAGTAGTTACAGTAGTCGTACCTCTTCTAATACTTTTGCCAACTGTGGATCGTCCATCCTAAAAAGAAAAAAAAAAAAAAAAAAAAAAAAAAGATTTGGAGTATGAGAGATAATATAATAATAATAATAATAATAATAATAAAAGGATTGCCCACTTTTGTCCTTTTCCTTTTCTTTTCTTTTTTTTTTTTTTTTTTTTTTTTTTTTTTTTTTGCTTACAATTGTAAGAAATGAATCCCAAAACGAAAGAAACTTGGACAAAGCTTTGTAAGATCCACAACCGTTGCTTCTGCTCGGAGACCATTTCTGACCTTAGGACCGAAAAACTCGGGCGTTTCAATATCCATCGGTACTGTGCCTTCCGGGCTATAAAAGAATATATGCAACATTTGTAAAAAAAAATAAAAAAAAAAATAAAAAAAAAAAATAAAAATAAAAACAATTAAAAACGTTGCTATCATCAGGGCAAATATGAATATCCCCATTTACATTCATATACTAAGATAACGCTTTTTTTTTTTTTTTTTTTTTTTTTTTTTTTTTTTGACTTACTGATCTACTATTTCTCGTGCCATCCAGAATGGAATATCGATTCTCGATCCTGCTCTCAGCTTTTTTTTTTTTTTTTTTTTTTTTTTTTTCGATAGGTTGGTTCAATACAACATTCATTCACATGTTATTATTATTATTATTATTATTATTATTATTTTCTATTAGTTAGTGAATAAAAATGTGAGATAGAGAGATAAGAGATGAGATCATACCGTATCACCGTGTCCTCCTTCCAACCAGGACAATCCAGGTACATCCCTTTGAAAGACACATTTGACATTCTACAAATAGAAAAAAAAAAAAAAAAAAAAAAGCATTCAAGATGTCAATGGAGCCATGTCTGTGATCAACATTCTTTTGCAAGCCAATCCAAGTCATGCCAGAAAATGTTTCTATTTGTTGAGTTCCTGCCTCCTTCTCCAATCATGATTACCTGGTCTTCAGCCAAGATTGAATCGATGTCATAGTAATCCTCCATCAATTAAAATTTCTTAGGTTGTTTGCAATGCAGAGTGTCAAGAATGACGCGTTGAGGGAACAACACGTTAAAAAAAAAAAAAAAAAAAAAAAAAGTCTAATGGCATGTACAAAACAAAGTGTGTGACAAGGTTATTAAAACGAGTCTCATAAAAAAAGTTTAATGGGCGAAGTGTAAGTGACACCCACTTTTGCTGAGCCCAAGCCAGACAAGTGTGGACATTTTCAATCCAATATGAACAGCAGAGCAGTCTTTATTTCTTTAAAAGAAATAGGAAGGAACGAGAATAAAGCCTGAAGATATAAACAAACAAAAAAAAAATCTACAAATGTCGCAATAACCAGAGGCTTTCAGTCGTTTGAATTAGAAGGGAGCTAAAAATAAAAATAATAATAGTAAAGGTCGAGCAAAAAAAAAAAAAAAAAAAAAAAAGGTCTTTTTCTCACGTGGAGGAAAGAAAGAGGAGTAAGATGGATATGTCTCTCTTCTTCACGTTCACATCTTTTCCCGCAACTTATTCATGGCCAAGAAGGTAAAATACCGGCGGTCTCATTATCATCAAGACGAATCTCATGGACTATAACAGATGAGTCCTGGTTATGATGGCGCTGGTTGTGTTGCTGTCCATTAGTATGAGCAATCCCTCCACTACTGTTTCCACCATCACGGTACTGCTGCTGGTAGTGGTGATTTGTTGAACTAAACATGTGATCAACACCGAGACTGCGACGCTGGTACGGTTTTAGGAAAAGATCTCCATTCCACTGGAATCCGCGACTTGACTTGGGTATGATGTAAAGCTCATGTGAAATAGGCACAGCTGCATATACAGATTCCTTTGACTGGATTATGCTTGGCATGGGAAGAGTAGATGAAGAATACGACGGCATTGTTGTTGTTGTTGTTGTTGTTATAGGGCTAGATGAGGAGGATAATGAAGATCGTAGATTACTGGATTCACTAAAGAGAAAGGATGAGGTGCTCTGAAAAGTACTTGATAAAAGATTATCGTGCAACTTTTGGATATCATCCTCTAGACTTGAAGTAATTGGCGTCGGTAACTCATTGTCAGAGCATGATGAGACTGACGACTCTGAAGGAGACGAAGAGAGTGGTGGAGTCTCTTCTCGGGATTCTTGAGCAGTAAGTTCCCCAGCTTGTGAAGGGACTTCTTCCTCGATAGCTTTTATACCACTCACGAGTCGCTCAGCATCAGGAGACATACCAGACTCTCGATAAGTTTCTGCTGCCTGCTTCAGATCTGTATACTGGGTATGGGCATCCATGTCGGTATCCATTGGCTCACTCTGAACCACGATGTCCTCTGAACCCAAGTGATGATTTTCTTTCATGGTTCTGTGGGAAAAAGGAAAAAAAAAAAAGCGATAACAAAAAGAAAAGTATGTGGTTGGGTGACAAACAGGGAGTGCCTGGGGAAAAAAAGGAAGGAAAAAAAGAGCACTGATGGCAAGAAAACAAAGAAAAAAGAAAAAGAAAAGAAGAAAAAAAAAGGAGTAATATGTACAGAGAGACAGAGAGGAAGATAGAATAGTACAGAGAGAGAGAGAGGGAGAGAGAGGAAAGAAGAAAGAGAAGAGATAGAGGAGGGTAGAGAATGTGAGGTGAGAAGAAAAGAGTGAGTAATTCGCTTCTTTTTTTTTTTTTTTGCTTTGTTTCTATTTATTCATGCAAATGGTTGCCACGTTAAGTAACATGCTCTACTATGATGATTGTTTTACACATGTCTTGCGTGATAGAGAAAGAGGAAAAAAGAGACTTTCCAGGAGCAGCGCAGTGGACACATGAGCAAAACCCTTTTGGTTTCCATACCATTAAGGTTGCATTATCAGCAAGGGACGCTCTGAAACCCTTCCCAAAGAACACTCATACAACTCGCGCTAGAAGCAAAGCCCAAAGTAGTCTTCAAATGAGGAGTCACAGATTCCTATCCTGCATGGGCATGCACACGACTTGGGTCACACAGAAATTGGCAAAATGTCCACAGAACGTACAATCGCATGATATGCAAAGTATTGTTGTTGTGCATGTCTCACCCTTTACCCTCCACTCTTCACTCTTCACTCTTCATGATGAATCTTTGGATTCTTCCTCTACTCCCTCTTCTTCTTCGTCTTCCTCGTCTTCCTCTGTGGCCTTGGCATTCTGCGGCCCATAGATACACTGCAGCAGGATAGCAACTGCCCCTTCAGTCCCTTTCAGCTGCATTAGCCGAACAAATTGCATAGGAATCGCATCCAATGTCCCTTTTTCATCCACTTGTTTCCCTAATAATAATAATAATAATAATAATAATAAAAAACACAGGTCATTAAAAATAAAAGAACATTTGTCTAGAGGCTAACATAGATATGGCACGCATAAGACTTAGATGTTTGCTAAAGAAGCTTACATTTCTTTGGCATCCTCGGAAGAAGTCGTACGCGTGGTATAACCTTGCCTTGGTCTGTCACATCGATTGCCCAGTGAAGAACAAGCTCTGGAGATGATTTCCTATAATAAAATAAAACAAATAAAAAACTAAGGACTATATTCTCGCTCTAACTGAGTCATGGGCGTCATCCACGGAAAGATGCAATGCCATTTTTTTTTTTTTTTTTTTTTTTTTCAATTACCTTGGTCCACTGAACACTAAAGTTTGTACACCAGAGCCTGCAGGAGATACATGAGTAATCGGTTCATCTGAGGTAGTGGATTTAGACCGTAGGTTCTTAGAGAGCCTACTAATAGTCTGATTAATCTTGACAAGGTTAGGGAAGCGCCTAGCAAGGTTGTTCATCAATGTTTGTCGGTCATAGTCCATTTGCGCATAAAGGATAAGGGTTCTAAAGAAAGGGAGTAATAGGGATTCGCTTTGCGCTCTATTGTTTGTGTATATTATTATGAGGAAATATAAGGTTAACAACCATCTTTTTCCAATGGGGGGAAGGAGCAACATAAAACCACAGGGAGGAAGGAGGGGGAGAGAGGTTGTGTGTTCCACCTTGCTTTTTATTTTTTTTTTATTTTTTTTTTATTACCTCAAGACAAATTGTCTCAGTTCCGTTTGTATGCTATGCGGTAGCTTAATCGACAAGTCGGTGACATTGAGATTTGGTTCATGAACTGTAAAATCGATTTCGAACTCTAGTTGTAAACACACTCCAGCGATGTAGTATCGATAATCTTTCAGGCCTTCATTTGATTCCGAAATCTTTCGGTTGTAGATAGACGTGAATGCAATGTTGGTGAAATTCTGTAGCTTTCGAATCTATACGCATGTGTGTATTAACAAAATAAAAATCAATGCTCGTTAGCGGTTAACGCTTCACGTTTAACAATTAACTGAATGTGATCCTGGTTAGTTCGGCCGTTACCGTCTCAATGTTGATCCCTGAAATCGTCTGACCAGAAAGAGGTGTATTGATCGGCTGTCCATCTGCTTTAGTGCCATCTGATTTCTTTGATATACTTATTTGATGAACGCTTCCAAGAATATTCCTGTAATAAGTCGAGGGAGAGGAAAAATAAAATAAAAAACCTCATTAGCCATAAACATCGTTAATATCCAGATTTATTTTGCGTTGCTTAGATGCTTTGAGAGAGCTGAATGATGTACCTCATTTCCTTGATCTCAGAATCCTGTCCATCCTTTTGTTTCTGAAGGGCTGCTGCTGCTGCTCTGGCTCGTCTACGTTTAGCGGCTTGAAGCCTACTCTCGAGTTGGTCTACTTCTGCTGTCATATGACGGAGCTGCTCCAAAACGCGACTCTTTTCTACATTGAGAATGTCGCTCTGAGTCATTGATGGTGACGATGACAAATGTTCACTGCCTCGGATTCGTGACAAGGGCGAAGAACTAATGCTGACGCCATCACTACCAAAGCCTGATCCTCCTTGAAAGCGTTCATGGGCTCGCGATGGCGTTGATAGTGTATTGGTCTGCGTTTGCCATGGAGAACTTGATCGTGTCTGCCATGAGGCGCTGGTCTGAGTCTGCCATGGAGTACTTGTCCGAAATTGCTGCGAGATTCCTGTCTGTGTTGGTTGTGATGGGCTGAATAGTCCAAAGCTGTCGCTTGAATCCTGGACCATGCCCTGATGTTGGAGATTACCAAGTATTGTGCTCTCTTCTCCGTCTTCTTCACCTAGTGCGCCTACCACTTGGTGTCCTTCCATGGCGAATGGGTCCAAGTTAGGAGGAGTTGAACAAAAGCTTCTGAGGTACAAATTATTATTTTTGCCTGGGCGCAGTCACGCATGACAGAAAAGTAGAAATCGCGTCCACAATTACACAATATTTTTTGAAGTAATCTAGGCAGGTGGGCGGGCGCGTAGAATGTTAGAAAACAAAACTGAGTAGCTTAATATGATGATAGCAGTCAGCAGTGGTAAAAAAGGCAAAGAAATAAAGGGCCGTACATGTACACGTGTCGGAAGAAGATGAGCTTGTCAGCAGATGTCTTTTTTTTTCCTCAATTTTTTTCTTTTTGGTAGGGTGGGGAACATCCCAGGAGGGTCAAGTGCTCGTCATTTGAGTGAACAGTGAGCTTCTCATATCCTTCTGAACATGTCAACAATAACAGCACACAGGTGTAACATTTGATGCAATCATCGATGATAAGGATTTCTCAAAGAAAGGAGGACGTAGTACATGTAAACCAACCATGCGGTTACGTGTACACTGTGTGGGCAAAGCCTGATCAAATGGGCTGTTGATGGCAATTGTCTCTTGAACATGTTAATTTGACAACTTCAGCCCTTTTTTATTTTATTTTTATTTTATTTTTTTTTGGGTCAGTCCTCATAAATTTGGTCATTTCTTTTTGACAATCATGACAACACGCGGGGCAAATGTGGAAGTAGTCAACCTGACCAAGTTCATGTGGACGAAAGCAAAGGTTGCCTGATACCTTTTTTCTTTTAGTAATGTCCATGTTCTTTGTCTCACTTTTTTTTTTTTTATTGTCTCTTTTTGGTCTGCATCACAAAAGATAGGAAGCCATGTTAGGACTTTGCTATCTGATCTCGAGATCGGAAAAATAAATTAATAAAGAGGAGGCAAAGAAGAAAAGAAACAAAAAGCGTGAGAGAAAAGAGAAAGTGAAAGAGGAAGAAATGGGGAAGGAAAAAAAAAAAAAAAAAAAAAAAGTCAAGAAACAGACTGAAGACAGACAAGGCATCAAGGTGCAGAGAGGAGTTTGTCAAGGGTGAAGGATCATATTTGTATGCAAAGGCAAAGGCAAAGGCAAAGGCAATGGCGATAGTAATGATAATGGTAATGATTTTTTCATTTTTTAGTCGATCTTATTAGCACTCCGACAGGTCTGCGCCCATCCTGTCATCAAGTCATGACAATTCTGAAGGACTAAAACCTTTCAGATTCATGACATTGGAGGGCGTAACAATATCGAGGCTACTTTCTGTCTCTAACCTACTCCATGAGTTTACATTGAATTGCACATTGCACATTCATTCCATTCCATTTGCCATTTGCCATTTACTTTTGAATATTATTTAGTGTAAACCGTTTATTTGTTCGTCTTGTCATTTGTGTTCTTTCTCTTTTTGTTCCCCTTCTTTTCCTTTCTCATATTTTGTCATTCATTCTCTTACCCTTCTCTCTTCTCCCCCTCTCTATTACCGTTCATCCAAACATCCATCCTCTTTACATGAAATAGATATCGCGTGCGATATTGGTCCACTTCAACACAAACAAAAAACAATTGCAATTATGTTACGGCGCTCTCTTTGTCGTACCCTTAGTCTCTCTGTGGCTCTGGGCTTAGTCATAGTCACACTCAACTCAAAAAGAATTGTCCTAGTTGACAGCTGTGGTGTCACCATCCACAATGAGGTTGCCTTCCGCGCCAGTCGGATCCTTTCGGCACATAGTCTCGCAGTCTCTTTTTCTCCTTTTCATCCATCAACAGCATCAACAGCATCATCACCATCTTCTTCATCACGCCTGTTATCATTGTCAAACTTAAATACAGATACACATCAAAACAGTGTCAGGAACCAGTCGCGAGGATTATATGATTATATACCACTGCTGGCTCAAAAAGAGTCTCTCTTTGCAGGGAGCTTCTTTCCAGACTGGGGATACGACTGTATTGGCAAGATATGGAACCAAGCCGCTGAAGAGGTACTTTTATTCAACTGACCTAGATTTTCTCTTCCTTTCAAGGCAATGAATCAATGAAGGGAAAGAAAAGGAGCGATGAGTTAAATGATTGATTGGACGAGTGATTGAAATGCTTCGCCTCCTCCGCCCTTTTTTTTTTTATTTTTATTTTTTTTATTCAGCATGTCTGTGCAATTGTGCAGCCAACTCTTGGGTTTGGTGATCCAATTTCCCCCTTTTTTTTTTTCCTCCTTCTGTGCAACTTGACTAAATGAAGCAGGCACGAACCTCTCTTCTTTGCTGTGTACTTGTTTGTCCTTCGTGCACTCTTTTCTCATTTTTTTTTTTTTTATTTTATTTTATTTTTTTTTATATGTCTTTTGCTTTTTAGGCGCATTGGCCCCCATTTGCAGAAGCATCCATAAGATATATTCTAGAAACCTACCCAAAGCCATGGGATGATCATGTTAAGGTACGCAATAACAAAATTACCTCACTCTCATCAAACTTCCCAGCCCCTTTCTCCCGAGCCTTTCTAACTTGCACTAATTGGAGCTAGAAAGTATGCGTAATATTTTCTAGCGACTTCAAATGATCAAATGATCTAATTCTTTAAACTATTTTTTTTTTTTTTTTTTTTTTTTTTAAAAAAAAAAAGGCCTTAATCATATTCCTATTCGGAATAGTATCCCATTCTTTAGGTGACATGTCATGGCATGCTCTCCATGGACTAGATGCTGGCTTTATCAATACATTAGCTCAAATTAGTTTCCAGGGTGATTATTCTCAAGGACACACTTTAGCCGACATTGGCGCCGAGTTTGTGTTGAGCCACATGAGCAAAATGGATCATCTATTAACCATGTGGAAAGTGCCAGTAAGAGACATTTCGGCGATCTATAAGCGAATGGGCTATAGAGTTCCTGGGCCCGTCTTAAGCCATTGTATGCGTAACGGCTTTGCTGGTGCTCAAGCAAATGCTCGACTTGGTAGTCAGTTATTTCCCGTGTATGCGTCCAGGGTAAAGCAAATTATATTAAAGTTTCTTTGCATCAATAGTAACAGCAACAACAACAACGACAACAAAAGTCAACGAATGGATAACTGATCTCAATTGCTTTATGTGTTTGTATAGTCACCGTTCTTAGTCGAACAAATAGAGGACTACCCTATGGGTGGTCTACGCGATATGTCAGAGTGGACAATTGACTGCTGGAGCGGTCTTGTGGGCTATTTGGATCAAGAACGTAAATTACCCAGTGGCATTGGGGACCGCAACAATACCTTCAATATGTGTTATGCTTTATGGGAAGAAAGGACAAGGAGGGGCCGCAGAGCAGCTATGGAGCGCACACGCGAGGGTAGAGTCCGACATCAACATGGACACAGAGGGCAGGGAACAAGTGGTGTAGATGGTGCCTTAGCATTGATAAAGCTGAGCGATGCAGGTTTGAAAGTGGTGACCGATGTGGATGACAACACTGGGATGGTTACCTTTTCGATCAAAGAGATAGTTGATGATGACCAAAAGGCTAAAGAAATGGGTGCAGGGGAAATGGTCCAAGTCTTGAATATTGCGGACGATTCCGAAGCAAAAGTAAAGGATGATGGCATGGGTGTCTTCAAAAGCTTATTCAGGTCAGATATGCAGCAGCAAATATTCTCAAAGAATAAGCTCGACGGCAGCGATAGCCGAGATCAGGTTATAGCCCAACTTGAGCCTACGGCTAATCATAATGATGATGGCCTTGTGAATGAATCCGGAGGTTGCCTTTCTTTCTCTGACGGACAAGACTCCAATGCACGAACGTTTTTCCTTCCAGTAGAATACTCTTCGTTTGGTCATGCAGCCGCAACGGGCGACTTTGATGGAGACGGTGACGTGGATATGGCTATATCAGCTCCGCATTTCCACATCGATCCATTGGTCCCATCCCAGGGGGCAGTCTTTATATTGCCCGGCCGGTCAGTATTCGCTTCAGCAGAAGGTAATGGAGAGGAAAGTGGTACAGACGTGAGATCGGTAGCCTCACAAATACTTTATGGTGACCCTGAACAACCCCAATCTCGATTTGGGTGGTCCCTTGCTGTTGTCGACATGAATCAAGATGGTATCGATGATCTCGCAATTGGCTCACCAGGTTATGGAGCCAAGGGCTTGGAATATGATGGAGCAGTCTTTGTATACTTTGGACATAAAGGCACTGGGCTAAGCAAACGGCCAGATCTTGTAATCCATCATGACCGTGATAAGGATGTGACTGATAGGGTCCCACCAAGAATGAATGCATTGACTGGATTGGGGCGTGTGCTTCAAGGGTTGGACTTGACTGGAACTGGTTATAAGGATCTGATAATGGGTATGCCGACTGCAATCACACCCATCCGATGGCCATTGGAAAAGAGATTAAGTACTGATGCATCCCGCAACAATGACAACGGTAATGACGTCAACATTGATGAGGACCATAGGATGGAGGACTCAAAGCCAAGGCGATTTAACCCACAAGCAGGAAAGGTTTTAGTGTTCTTGTCAGCAGGCAATCATACTGGGCATAAGCTCGATACACAGCGCGATTGGGAGGTGCAAGGTGAAGACGCTTTCGGCTGGTTTGGAGCATCCTTTGCTGTTGTCTCGCAGATTTATCCCCAACACATCAAGACCAAGTCAAAGAAGTGGAGCATACAAAGCCTGACCTCAATCCTTAAAAGGATCCAGTTATCTTTATCTGATCTTTGGGGATGGTCTCGACGAGCTTCCTACGATTATGAGGACAAGTCTGCTGAGTTACGAAGGATTTTGGTCGTTGGGTCACCTGCCTTCGGCGTGGGAGAGGCTGAAGCCATGCGTGGAAAGATAGAGGGATTTGTAATCCCTGATCTCCTGAAACGCTACAGCCATATGCCTGCTACTGCCCAGGACAATAGAGAGCTGCTTGAGCCACAAAAAGCTTTTACCATCCATGGTAACGCGAAGTTTCAACAGCTTGGTTCAAGTCTTAGTGGTACTCGTCATATTTCTTCAAAGACCCCTATTGGAGCTTTTGAGCCAGAATATCTCATTGTTGGATCACAGTCTGAAGACGTGTTGCGTCGGCTGCCACAATTTGGCCGACTTTGGCAAGCGGGGATGGTCCGGATCTTGGATATCACTACATTATCGGATGGAACCGAAATTGGTATATCGGATTTGGATGCGGATAAGGAAATTATACGTGATTCATTACAAGGATCACAATCGATGGCACATTTGTCTGCAGCGATGGAGGTTTCAACTAATGGAAGAAGCCTTTGGTTGACAGAGCCCTACGCAAAAGCTGAGGCAGGCCGTTTATTAGAGTGGGTTCCTAGTTTTGAAAAGACTGACGACAAGGATGTTGGAAGACGAAAAAAGATAAAGCAGAACAAAAAGGATGTACTTGGCGTACGGGGTCGACAACTTGCCCATGGCTGTAATAATGACGGTGTTATTGGTGAGGGTGACGGCGATGGTGATGATGACGAAGATCCAATTCGGGATGGAATCAAACAATGTTTCATTGGGACTGATTTCAGGGGCCGTTTTGGATCCCAACTACTTGTTGGGGATTTAAATAAGGATGGTCGTGACGATGTCGTTGTCACTTCATCTCATTCCTCGCAATATGCAACGTAAGTTTTGTTAATGTATTCTATATCGAGGGCTGGTATATATCATTAGGATATCCTTGACCTTTTTCTAATTTTTATAACCTACTTTTTCATGGTTAAAATAGCATGGCTGGAACTGTTACTATCAAGTTCCGACCCTAGAACATGATGTCTCTCTTTCTCCT